AGAGAAATCGCTACCTTCCTTGAACTTTGTTCCCTATTCTATACAGATACTTCTCAAACAACCACTTCTGCAATCCAGACACAGCTGTACAGCAACTCATCAACTAATGCACTAGTTGTGTTCCGAAAAGGAGTGACAGGGGGTGCAATGACATAAATGACATCAGGTAGGCCGAACTTTCTATTCTCCCCTTGCATTCCTCCTCCATGCATGCACAGCATCCTAATTCCAACTTCTTCTGACCTCTCTTGATGGGCCAGCAAGCAGTTCATACTAAAGCAAGTGTTACAGGTCTAAATTAATTGACTGCATTAAAATGAAACATGTTTCGAACTTGCATATACCAAGGAGTACCTGTACTTCTGTAAGTGTGGTAGGACAGAACCACATTTTCGCCACTGTCTTATAGAGGCATTACTTTTCAGCATACCCTTCCAGGATGAAAGCTGCTAATACCAAAGCCCACCAGTGGACACATCATGATCCACAGTCGTGTACCCAGTTTTGTCAAGATCTGGTTTGATATCTTTCTTCCACCACTTTTGCTTTCCCAAGTGGATGCTTTCTAGCATGTTCCAACAAAAATATTGTATGTATTTGTGTTCAACTCTTTACTGGAGTCCGTCATAACACAATAACATAAGTGAAGGTTAAAATTACCTAGCTACATGTTTCGGCTTTTAAAAGCCATTATCAGGCAAAACACATGATTACTATATTCACACACTATTAGTAATTATTTGTTTTGCCTGATGATGGCTTAAAAAAGCCAAAACATGTAGCTAGGTAATTTTAACCTTGACTGTTACGTTGTTGTGTTATGACAGACTCCAGTAAAGAACTGTATATACTAACACAACAGGATGCATGAATGAATCATGTTGTGTTTGCAGTCACAATATGAAATCAGGTCATCCACAAACAGAAGTCCATTTGGCTGTTGATATGGAATATGATACTGTGTTGTTTGGTAGAAGTTTAATGACATTTCAGAGGAACACATTGCCTTCACTTTCAATTTTCCATCCTGAAGATGGAGGAAGTATATTTGTCTGCAGTGCTGGTTAAAACAAATTATGGAGCATTACATTTCAGAAGACTTATCTCAATAATACTGCTCTAAAGTCAGGATGTGATAGAATGTATGTAGCAGGTCTACTTTTATGAAGGTTCCTCCAAAATGTAGGCAGACTCCTACCCACCTACACAGCCTCACTTCCAAATTCCTCATGATCACTGCCCTGAATATCTCATATCTCACATGTAACACTGGTGTTTGTAGATGACTGTACTTCCATTTATGAACAAGAAATATTGACACACTACAATACAGTAATTGTGCTGTACTGATTAAAATGAACTGTGATCAGTTCAGATGAATTATTTTACATAATGTAATTATTTCTCAGAGCATTGTTTGAACAAGTCCTCATCACAGTGGTGAGTCTGTTAGGAAATCTGTACAAATTAATAAGAAATGGCAAGTCTACCACTGCAACCATTTAAAGCTATTGGCCTGACGCTTCAGTGGCCCTGCCTGGGCACCAACTGTATGCAGCCATCTCAACTTTACACGAACATATTATGAAATTGAAGAAAGCAGTCTTCTGGGCTTTGGCGCCGTGTATATGTGGTGTTAACCGACGTTTCGGAGGAACGTATCGCCCCCATCTTCAGGGTTGAAGAAAAAGTATAGGTAAATCTGCAAGCGACAACACCTAAGACACGGTAACGTTCATAGTCACCGCCGTGAAAGCCTCAAATCTTACATATTATGAAATTAAAACATTTTTATATCATTTACCTAAAGCTGATATACACTTAAATACTACGCCAAGTGAAACTATTTTATTGTATATTTCTCAACAGGATACTAACCAACAAGGAAATAAAATCTTCAGTTTCTTTTGATAGGTGTGTCTTACCTTTTGTCTGAAAAATTAATCACCTATGGTAAGGACAGATAGTAATGACCAGGGCCCGGATTTTGATATGTCATCTTTTTTTTCATTGTAGTCTATGCGATTCTCTTAAATATATAAATCTTGGATGTGAGCTGCTGGTTAGTGAAATGTAAATTTTATAGGTAATTTTTTGGACTTTTAATGGTATTTCTTGTCATTTTTGGCCATTTTAGGGAATTTTTCTTCATATGTTTTCTGAAATGTGAATAACATGGAAGCGAAGTGTTCTTTATTTTCTCCTTTAGGTCATTTTTTAAACATTTTCAGGTCATCAAAATCCGGGCCCTGGTAATAACCATCAATAACCATAAGCAGACTGCTCTGAGTGAGAATGTTACAAACTGAAATCAACTCCACACATAATTCCAACCTTGCAAGTAACCACACTAACTGAACAAGTTATTCTTCATGGACCTAATGGAGTGGGTGTACATGTTTTAACTAAATAATCAGGTGGCTGGAATGAATGTCACTGAGGATATCAACTTACAGTTATACATTACTGATATCAAGAAAAATGTAAGTTTGGGAACACCTGGAGTCCGTCTGTGCACCTTCTTATGTGAAGATTAGTAACACATCAGGATTACAATTCAGACTTCAGATAATGTCCAGCATTGACTTATATATTCATTTTGGGTTCAAATCATTATCACCATCTCCAAGAAAATGCCTTAAGATCAGTTTTACACAGTTTCATGACCTGATATTATTATTGGCCGAGTCTACGTGTCTTTCGATTTTTCATATACCTACAGAAGACTCCTGATCATCCGCACGTGGATTAAAAACAGGACTTTTATAATCATTTATAAGATTTTTAACCTCCGTCCACTGTAATTGATAAAATCTGTTTTTAATTTTTCATCATCTACATGTTTTGGTCAAAACAACCATCTTCAGAAGGATATTATCAACACACATGTAAACTACTGTTACCATGCCATACATATATATGTTGTATCTTTTAACTAATGCTAAGGTGTACATTGATTTGTCAAAACATCTAACATTATTACAGAAGTGTAACAACACGAACAAAATTCGTTCTGGATGAAAACAAACATTGAACATTATTCTATAAACAGACTAATTGTAATAATTTTTAGATGCTTTAACAAATCGATGTACATCTTAATATTAGTTAAAACGATATTATATTTATACATCTGCGACATGTAATAGCAGTTTCCACACGTGTTGATAATATCCTTCTGAAGATGGTCGATTTGACCGAAACATGTAAAGGATGAAAATTAAAAACAACTTTTATCAATCAGACTGGACGGTGGTTAAAAATCTTATATACAATTACTAGTGTGATGGGTCAGGATGAACCAAGTTACTTTTATAACTCATTACAAATGTTTCAATAATATATCAGTGGTGCTTTACAATGATTTGCAGTAGACTGTACGTCTGATTCTGTTGCTTGTATAATTTTACAGCTTTTCATACAGGCCTATCACTGAACAAGGGTTTCTTTCGTCTTTTGGAAGGATACATGTCACAGTGTTCAGTGGCCAATTTGCAGGCTTGAATGCAGCATTGATGGGGGTGTACAAATATCGCTATTGCAATCAAGAAAGGTCACATATATAATTACTTCATGTCTGATTTAGTTCAGAGGCGGTTCATCTGACTCAGGTCCTATAAACAAGCAACTGCTAACTAGAAATTGTACTTCTCAGCTTACAGGTGCCAACAGCTGGCACAGGAGAACCTCTGTACTCATTTGAATGTGACATGAACTCTGTGGCCTTCCTTCCAGTACCTACAGGCACTATCAGCAGCTGCAAGCTGTGTCTTACTTAAAAATAGAGATGATATTCCAGACAGTAACAAACAATAAAAATATAAGTCCACACTAAATTTCAGAGTTGGTGCCAGTGTATTTCATGAAGAATTTGCAGTTTTGTTTTCAAGACGGTTGCCCTGAAAAGGAAAGAAACAAAGAAAATGTAGTAACGCTCATGTAAAACTAGCAAATTTCACAAAAACCTCACAGCTGCTTTTCTTTTTGGAAATTGAATTTCATATTCTGCATAAAAAACACAAATTCTTAGTAAAGCTTCACAGTACCAAGGAGGATCATCAATCCATCATTAAAATGACATTTTATGCTTTACAGTCTAGAAATTATAACAAGATGAGTAACACGCTCAGAGAACAACCACAGCAGTATAATCACTAGATGACATTATCTACATTCTATATGACTTCAGCCTTTAAGTTAAAGCTATGAATTACTCTTATTTGCAATGTCAAGATTAGACAAATTTTGAATTGAGTTGACTGGTTTCATCTAGGATTCTGTGTTCTCATGTCTAAGTCTGTCAGTTAATGAATACATTTTTTTTAATCAGAACTGGCTGTTCATTTCAATGAATGGCAGACATGCATATGCGTTGTATAACACAGCATGCAGAGCAACCTGCCACTTTGTATATACATTCACCTAGAAGGGACCGCTAAGTAATGACCAAAAACCATGATATGGAAGCATAGCAGTTTCCTCATTTATAATTTAAAATTTTAAAACACCTGATGATGACCTTATAGGTCCAAACGTGTAGTGAATAACTTTTAGTAAGTTATATAGAGGGACGTGCTGCACGTGAGACTGTGAAACCATCTGCTACTAAATGAAGTGCACCAGGGTGCTACAGTATGGTACTAGTTACAAATAACAGCTCATGACCAGGTCTGGACTGATACTCACTCCTTCCTGTTCATTAATCTTCATTCGTTTCTCTGCTTTATTCCTGTAGGTCCCTTTCCATGAAATTTATGAGACAGGTACCTGAAATTAGAATGAGAGACAGCATTAAAGTCACTGTATTTTAGGATCTTACAGAATTAGACCATGTTTCCAAGCACCAGGTAACATCCTTTCATTCTAAATTTTCAGCCAGAAAATAGGGGTAACATCCATATATAGTTCAATCTGTTATTTTGTGAAATGATAAAAATATGTAACATTCCCTTTTCCATCACAACTTACTCATATGGCCAACAACCAGAAATGGGCATGCTACAGCCCATTAAAGTCATAGGGATTGAAATAATTAATGCAAAATATTTTAATAAAAGTACAATGGAACAGTAGGGGCACGCGATAGCGTAGTTGGTTAAGGGGCTATGCTACAAGCCGGAAGGTCGTGGGTTCAAGTCCCGATGAGGTCATTGGATTTTTTTCAATTGACCTAATCCTTCCAGCCGCACTATGGCCTTGGGGTCGACTCAACCTCTAACAGAAATGAGTACCAGGAATTAATTAAATAAATTCCCTGGGGAGTAAAGTGCAGCCGGCGTGTATTGCTGACATCCTTACTGCCATCTTTGAGCCAACTGTCTAGATAATGTGGGACCCTCAACGTCTCACAACCCTATGGGCCTTCACGGCCTGGTACAGGGATTGCTTTACTTTTTTTTACTTACAATGGAACAGTAATAATTTTGAGGCATGTTCCTTCTTAATTCATGCCACCTATCTGCAAAATGAACAATTCTGCCACATTCTAAGCCTACACAACAAAGTATTTACACACTCAAATGTCACAATATGTTGGCTAGTTACAAACTGAGATACACAGAATGGGAGAAAATGAAGTCAGAAAAACACATATATAACAAAGTGTTCTACTGAAAGCATCTGATGTGGAAGACAATCTCAGCCCCCCTGATAGGGTAATCATGATAGTGCTGGTCAGCAGAGGGACCCTACAATTTAATATGGGCTCTAACCCATGGGGAGGTGTATCCTTTGTATTCCAAAAATTTTAGCTGTGGTAATGTGAAGGCATCATCTGTGAGCAGAAAAATCTGTACACATGTGCGAGTGAGAATCGAACTCAGAACCTTCTGAATGGGTATAACAGCTTAACTCAGAGCCTTTCTCTTAAGGACCTACTTTAAGTGGCTCTAGTGTTACTCGCAACTGTCACCATGTTAATATGGCTGCTGGTAGAAAACTGAAAGAACATGGGGAGTGGCATGATAACAATGCAGAGTTTCACATAAATCCATCAGTTGGTTCACACATTATGGTGAGGACGGCACACATGGATGATAAACACTGTGGTCCCACAGTCTTGCCTGTTTCCACTGAAAAGCTGCTTCCTCCTTGGACTTTTTCTTCTTAAAATGGCAATTACTGCAAGAACTCTTTTCCCCTAAAGAATGTACTACCATTGGACAGATTACCCTCCACAGTGTGACCTATCTTAAAAACAGATATGCTATTATCTGTGCTAACCTGAAAGCCTCCTTTGCATTGAGTACATGTCCATCAGCATCTGTGTAGTCAAGTTTAACATCTGGTTTGTAGCCCTCCTCCTCTTTGAAGTCTGAGGTCGGACCACTCTAGCGCTTGCGACGTGTGAACTTTTCATCATCTCTGAAAAAGATAAAGCAATGCTATATATTAAATTCCTTAATTAGTCTTGGCCTCAACAGCAGATGAGTTTGATTACCTTGTTTTGTTCTGACCATCGTGTACACCTCCCCAATACTTGAATGGCTCAATCTTGAGAGATGAGATGAGACTTAGTAATAGAGCAGACGACAAACTATTCAAAACTCAGATATTCCTTACCCTTCAAAATCTCCTACTCTATTTCATAACAGAAGAAAGTGGTTGATCCTTGTGCCCGTGGCAACTCTCTTCCCTAAGGTCTGCTGCGGAGAAGATCTGACAGCTACTGGATGACTTAATAAGGATCAACTGGACACGATAAATCTGCTTATTCTCCCATGCTGTACTCCCTCCAGCTTCTGTGCAATAAGAAGCTAACATAAGGTACACACCAGAGCACTGAGAACATCTGTCCCTACAGCTCAGATCTTACAGAAGGAAGAGCTGACTTACCCACTATCAGGCACCTTTCTAGATGCCAGACGATGACTTGTCTGCTCATGAGTGCAGTGCAGTGACAAAGCCCCTCTCATGACCATTCTCTCTATAACCTCTATTCTGAATCTGTGATTCTCACTTCCTCTCATCAGACAATGAAACAAATAATCTCAAGACAATGGTAACACTGGCAGGGATGTAGCTCCTTGAAAATGGCAGTTCCTTGTAGGCCAAATCACTCCGACTTCATTGCCTTGACATTTCAAGCCAATATAAACTTCTATCTAAATTGTCTGTTTTGAGAAGAAGAAATTATTTATCTTTATCTTCCACCTACAACCATGCATCAGATCCGAAATAAAGTTCATACGACCTGTCCTACATACCAGGCAGTGGTTCAAAATATGACCAACAGAAATAACAGTAGGATAAGTACAACACCGTGCCCACCCTCAAGTTAAGTGAGACAGGGCAAACAGATAAACCAACTACATTACAATTTTCCCATGAAAATGTGAAGCATATAATCCTATCTTTTACTAACATACCCGTCAATAATACAACTTTAAAAAGCTATTAGGAATATGTTGTTCACTAAAAATGCATTTTAATACTATGACAGTTCAAATCAATAAAATGCCTGTAGGCCTTTACGTAGTACATAAATTTACACATTAAAAGTGAATGTTCACACTCTTCAAATTGTCTTGGTTTTACACGTATTTTTACTAATTTATGTTCACAACAAATACAGTGCAGTGATCTCACTCGAGGATAGAATTTACCTGATGATAGCCCAATGAGGCCGAAACATGTTGTGAACATAAATTAATAAAAATACTTGCAAAACCAAGACAATTTGAGGAGTGTGAATATTCACTTTTAATGTGTAAATGTATGTACTATGTAAAGGCCTATGGGCATTTTATTGATGTGACCTATCATAGTATTAAAATGCATTTTTAGTGAACAACATATTCCTAATGTCTTTTTAAAGTTGTATTATTGATGGATACATTAGTGAAAAATAGGATGATGCCTCAATACAACGGGATGCTGAAATATATCATGAGTGAAGCAAATAAGCTTAGACTGACTCAGGATGCAACACTGACAGGGCAAACACAGAACAAATGAACGGCAAATCCTACCTGGAATTCTCATTTTTGTATGTGTCTGCATGCACGCCACTGCTGTAGCATTCACTCTTTCTTTCCCGCAAGCTCATACATGTGTGTCTTATCCAAAGTGGAGTAGTTCTGAGCTTGGAGATGAGCAAAACGTGAAGCTTGTGCTCCAGATAATCCTGACTGCCAGATGGAGGGCCCCTGCAACTCCTACACCTACATCAGGTTCCATGTCCAACATCGGCACTTCAGCGGTCAGCACGTCGACTGGTGTCTCATCTGTTTAAATCAGGAAATAAATAACCCAAATGAGCAAGGAATGTTACATGTACACTACTCATGCCACTCTGAAACGTACACAGATAATTACTGCACTAATATAAAACAATCAAATCCCTATTTGAGTTTTCTTTGTGCGAGTGAAGAGAAAGCTTACATATATGAAGATAATTTAGCAGGTTATTCTTGTGGTAAAATTGAATCCAAACAAAATGGGGACTGCACATCACATTCCTCCTCAATTTCAGTAAAATCTGAGACACTGAAATAAGGGAAGAACTTATGAAACTATTCCTACAGCAGGCCTCTCAAATTGACTGTCTGCTGGATTTCTTGCAGTCAGTGAGACTTACAAGCCACAGTTTTATAAAATTTTTAACTGTGTATCCTTTGGAATCTTTTTAATTATAGCACTATTCTGATAATGCATGTGTAGCCAAACCTCAGGATTTTATTACTAACCTTAATTGCATTACAGTATGATCCTCTGGACCCAAATAATTAAATGAAATTCCTCTGTTTATAATTATTCTTAATCCAATGATACTATATTTCTTTACAGCCAATGGTTTTTAATTTTTTCAAGTTAAACCATAAAATTATAATCTCACATTCTGTTTTACAAAATGTACATCTCTTTGCATCACATTTTTATTAAGGGCTAACACCCAACAAAAGAAAAACCATTAAAACATAACAGCTGGCTTTCCCACTGTCTGATTACCATCAATATAGATATTAAAAACTGTGACTTGTCAAAGTTATATAAAATTAAGGTAAATTCAACTGAAATTTTGTTGTGTGTTGGTTCTGGCTGAATACAAGTGTAAAGACAGTGTATACTTGCTTTCAGCTGTTCGTCTCAATTGCAATGGAGAGCAGAGTTTTTTATTGAGACCTGCCACAGTATGTCTATTTGTATTTCAAGAAATGCCTAGACATATTATAAAAATCAACACACAATGAACCTTTATTCAATTTCCCACTGTTTTATTTATAGCAAAAACATAATATGACACCGCTTCATGAATCCTGATTGCTCTTCTAATACTTTGCATGCAAACAGAAGTGGAAGAGCATTTCATAACACAAAGAAAATTAAAAGCACTGAATTTATTTTTCCACAAAAGAGGAATGTGACCTACGTGGGGGTGTCTATAGTCCATAGGATCTTACTGTACTACTAGTTCTGTTTATGATTCAATTTGATTTATTTTACTGTTTGGTAGGACTGCTTCCTTTTCAACCACTGTTACCCGAATAGTTTCGTTATAACTAGTTTACTGAGGGCAGTGTGCCTCCCTATCATTAATTATTAGATCACTCGCTTTGACAGAAATGTTGATTATAAGAAATAAGCTTTACTTGTTATTGCATGTCTTCTGCATCTGCCATACGTCCCGGCCTCGGTTCCTTTGTGCTCTAATTCGTTGTCACTTTTTCTGTTTAACGTGTTCTCATTGTGTTGTCTTTGTCAGCTGGTTGAGGTTATTTAGTAGCTCATAGCGGTTTGCAATGATAGGTATTGGAACAGCATAGTTTACTCCTAGCTTACTGTCTCTTTTCCGACGCGATGAGGGCACATTCACCCATTCCATTTTTTTTAGTTCCAATTGTATCAAATTATCGCTGTGATGCAAGTAACATTACGGTCCGATTGGGGGTGTTTATCTTTTCTTGTAGCAGGTAAATAATTTTTTTGTGCTGATCTGAATTCTTTTACGGTCTTTTGTAGTTATATTTTAAATTTATCACAACAAGCACACGTTACTTCCCTTGTTTTACTACTACTACTATTGATGAAAACTGGAGTCTCGTCAGCATCAACACCTGTACGAACCGACCATATTGGATAGGCTGAGGGCGCACCAAGGAAACCGGCAACTGCAACAAACAAACAAACTCGGTGAGCGTTGCCTAAGCCTTTCTTGTATTTACAGTATTTTTTCTACTATAAACGAATCCCTACTGCCGTTAATTTCGGTTTTCTAGACCGGCAACTGCAATTTACAGAGCTGTTATCAGCCCGAGTTGAACGAGTTACTTAATGGAGCAGCGCAAATTGAGGAAACGGCAACGCAACTCGCCGAAAGACTAAGTCCACTTCCAAGCAACGGTGCATGTCAGCCTTCTCATTATTGTGTTGCCGTGTAGTTTCCTAGGGCGAGGGCCCACGAAGGAAACTGTAAACTGCAACACAACCGCAATATCCGGGAAATGTCGCAAATTTCAAGCAGGCAATTGGTGTCTAGATTAGGTGAACACGGAGGAATGCATGAATGTAAAAGGGGCGGGCTTTCTCGGAACTTGCACCGCGACCTACAGTGGTCTATCAACACGCAGGAAACTTACGTTTTCATAGTTTCTCACACCATCTTAGGTGGGTGTGCTCGTCCGACATAATGTATAATTGTATTTTTTAATTTCATGCACTTACCTTCTGCAATGGAAAATAAAACTGATCTTGTCATAATATTATGGTAGTTGTGATCGGTTGGGGCGGCGTGAGAAGACAGAACGACGACCTTAAGGAAAATTTTGGGATGTTAATTTGTTCTTATGATCAAGAGAAGCCATTATAGCTTCAGTAAAATGGTAAAGGGATGAAGAAAACAATTTATATCAATGTTACCAATTACTGAAGTCATAACAGAAATGCATTATACTTGAATTTGCCACATTTAACCTGAAAATTAAACTGTTTAAATAATCAGCTTACATGTGTAACTACATGAAGCACATGAAACTGGCTTACTCTTTTGACTGGTGCCTGTAATGATGTAAATGAAAAAAATATTTCTCTCATTTGAAGGCCATACAATTTCATGGGTGCAGCTTATATTGAGGAAAAAAGTTATTCACATTTAACAGCCATCAAAATATTTGAAGTCACCTGACCAGCCCAATATCTTGTAGCTGTCATGGTATGCCAGCTGTCTTTTGACACATCACATTAACCATTTTCAGCTCTTTAATTGAGTCTTGCAATGCCTTTGAAATATAAAACGGTCTTCCTGATGTAAATTCAGCATGAAAAAGGTCTCTGAACACAAGTTGTGTAGCATTGTATTTGCAGACCTACAAGGCATATCTCAAATCAGCTTGATTATTAACATGGTAATTATTGCAGGATAAAACATTATTTGGTAGATTTGTCATTTATGATCATATTAATGAAGAAGATAACAGCTACAGAAGATAAGTTTTCATTATATCTCAAAATTGGATTTAATACATTGCATTCTCGCAAGGCAGCCCATAAAACAAGCCACTTCAGTGGAGAGTTATAATAAAACCAATCACATGTGTTATTATGGGCAGGTTTCTTGTGCCAAATATGCCTTTTTAGTTTCAAGCAAATATAGCAGAAACAGAAATTTAATAAATTAATGTCTCAGAAAGTAGGTTTTAACCCTATCTCAACCTTATTCAAACAGATATATGACCCCCATTTCTTTTTATAACAATTACTTATATTATTTCCTGTTAAGACAATTAACTTTAAAACCTGAGTTACTACATGAAAGGAACATATCCTATGACCTATTGAATCATCAAGAAATTAGACAACCCTCCAACAGGTACCGCTAGGAAGCAGAAAGCAAACATAAAAGCAAACATAAATGCTTTGGCGTGGGAAGACCACTGTAATAGAATAAGATGTATATAAGAATGTGCTACAGAAGGCCGGATGGGCATTGCCTAGACATTTTTTGTATTTACAATAATTTTTCCCCATAATAAAAAAAATGCTTTGGAATATAAAGAACAGGGAGAACAATTTATTTGGGAGCTTTCTGGAATGTAGATTTGGGGATTTATGGTACAATATATATTTATCACCTGAAGATGAAATACTGCTTTCACAATCAAATTCTGACAGTCTGGCGAATATTGGCTAATATACAGATGATTGACACCTCTTTCTGTTTGATGACTGGGGCAACATTACCATATTCCATACTCCTGACCACAGTGCAATGTTTTCAAAGCCTAGATTATCATCATGTCCATCCACAACAGGAACATTGCAACAGATGCTCTAATTCCAGGAAAACTGCCTCACAGGCTGATACTTCTGCCTCAATGGAACACAGGCACCCTATCTAGTGAATGAATAGTTGGTTGGTGCCCAATTCTCAACTCAAGATTAAGCACCTGTCATTTTGCATTCCCACTATTTCTTGATTCAATTACAGTCTTCTACAGGCTATAAAGTGTCACATTTTTTCTCATTCAATGCTTGTTCCCCTGTTATGTTGCAATGTTACATTATTACATGGGTGATCCCAGAAATTTTGAAATGTATCATGCTAACACCTCCACAATCAATCCATATTTTGCCTCCAACAAATCCACAACTATCAGTCTGACACAAGAACTAACTCCTATTGTGAATTTCTTTGGAAATTATGAACTTTTTGGATTCTCCAAGAAGTGGAAGAGGTCAGTTCTTCAAATACATGGAATTCTGCCAAGCAAATGCAAGAATAAGCACTTGATGAAGCTGGTAGTGCATAATGAAACCTTACAGAAAAATATGAACACATGTTGACTCTCCTTCATTATGACCACTCATTTTATATGCAGGTAGACATGTGAGCAACCTTCCATCAAGTGCTGCTGTCATGATACAGCTCAAATATGTATGCTCCAGCATGGGAGAAAACATCCCAGTAAATAATAAAGTTACTTAGGCCACGCATCGATACATATGTATCAGTAGGGAAGACAGAGAATGATACATGGCTGGTGCTTTTTTTTTTTTGTCCAACCAATAAAAGCCATAAAATTCAGTAACAGTACAGACTTTCCAGGATGAATGATTGATCCCACAGAGTTTATGTCTGTGAAAGGTGAAGGTTCTGCAATGGTTTGTGCTGTGGCACTGTAAACTGAAACAAACAATACAATCTTAACTGTCATTACAATAATTTGCACTGAGATTCACACATACATTTGGATCATATTTATCTCAGAACAGCCTATAAATGTAGAAAAGATCTTGTGAAAATCAGAATGGTTCCAACTCAGTTAACTTTGTGGACAACAGATTCTTTAGTTTTTAATAAGTAACATGTATCAGTTTCTTTCATCATGCAACAGTTTCACCATTTAACAGCAAGTCTCCTGCAGAATAGGTGACTATAATTAATAGGTATTAACATTAAGGGTCAGGCCATGCCATAGCTCAAACGGTTAGTCGCTGGCTTCCCACTGCAGCACCCAGGTTTGATCCCAGGTCTTGTCAAGTGGGATTTGTGGTGGACAAAGTAGCGCTGGGGTGGGTTCTCTCCGAGTACTTCGGTTTCCCCTGCCAATCTTCATTCCACCAAATTCTCCATCATCGTAATCGGCCGGGGCAGGTACAATAGGCAAATCAGTGACTGCCATGCCAAGTGGACCCAGTTGGACTCCACCCCCCACTAAGCAAAAAAAAATTAAGGATCTTTATTTTAATTGTGACTGTGGCTTGACCTAAGGCACTTAAATTACTGATCTTCATTGTGTTTCTAGTGCATACCACTATTTTAAGCAAGTTATATCATGTTAAATAAAAAGTAAACTTAAGCATCACACCATTAAGACGCATAGAGGAATGGTGGTTTAGTTCCACACATTATTAACCTCAGCACTAGATGGAGATTAGTGGTTAGCTTCACACGCTGGCCACTTTATATCCAAGGAAACATTACCAAGTGGACAGGAAGGTGGGTTGGGCCCAGAATTGCTCCTGGCAGCAATAAAGCCTCATTTCCTTGGTAAGACTGAAGCCTAGTTGCTATACCAGCTGAGTTATCCTGGCTATGTGAAAATAGTGCCATAGCTAATAGAGTACTAATCTTTAAAATTTAAATTACATAGAAGAAAGAGAAGGCAGCAGTTTCCACATTAATTTCCTGATGACATCTCCATGACTCATGCTGCCACTTCCGCCTCTGCCGGTTACAGGGTATCCAGTGTGAACATTCAACACCCCAATGCACTGGTTTTCTTTTTAATTTGCAGGAACAGTCTTGAAGGTGCAACTTCTTCTTGTGCTTGTAGGCTGTTGGTCTGATACGTGGTCACATTTTTTTCTATAAATGTTACTTCTGTGACATGTTTCAACTTGATAAGGTCATCACCAGGTAAATACTTTTACATAACTGCTGCACTGTATAGCTTTTTCTAGTTCACTGTTCTAAAACTCAGTTAAAACTAGTGTGGGAACATCCCACATACTATCACGCTATTTCTACAGTACTCACTTTTCACCAGAACGCACGCTAACCAATCAAATTGCTTCCAACGTTCGCATTTATACAGCGCTCACTGTATAGTCCACCTTCAGCATTCAAAATTCCATACGTATATGATTACATAACAAAATTATGCAGGCAACAAACAGAAGTCATACAAAATCATGATAATGAGAATGTTCACAACATCGGACAAGGCGAAGCCAGCCACGGAAAGTATAAGAGGCTTAAACTTGGCGGCAGTCAGGCATACGACTGTTCAAGTGAGTAGACTGCCGTGATAGTGATTACTACTAGAAATAGGGCCTAATCTGCTGTAAAATGCCTGGATTGACAGAGGCCTTGTATATATTGTATATAGAAGGAATAAGTGTGGATTTGTAAAGTATGTAAATACAAACAGTGGACTTATTAATACAGACTGACTGACAAATGATAGACCCGACCTCTCGTCAGAGAGGGTGCCCCAAATGGACAGGACAGCAACTTTCACAAAGAAGAAAACATCTGGTCATGAGCCCCAGCTGGGGCTCGACACCAAGACAGACAGACTGACTGACCGTCAGTTGTAACATGACTTTGACTCTGACTTTGACTTGAGTCCACCTTCAGATCATTACATGCGCTAGCCAATCAGCACTCAGCAAAGACCTAGGTATGTTGAGTGTCTTCTAAAAGAGGTCTTCTCACAACATGGTAATATCCAACCTTGGTTGGATACAGTAGGACAGAACACCAGTAATGACCAACCCTGGTCACAGGCACAAAAGTGTTAAAGTTGAACATGGATTAAATATATGCAAACTTTAGGGACAGAATTAAAGATATTTATACTAATGCTTCATACATAGCCTCTCTATAAAAAGGGTGATAAAACTGAAATCTCTAACTATAGGCCAATCTCACTTCTTCCAACTTTCTCTAAAATCATTGAAAAGATTATTTATAGAAGAATTTATTCTCATTTAAATAGGAATAATATATTGGCCAAGGAACAGTTTGGATTTAGAAAAGAATCATCTACTGAAATGGCAACATATAATCTTTTAGATAATATATTAACTTCTTTGGACAAAAAAGAATATGTGGGTGGATTATTTTGTGATTTACAAAAGGCTTTTGATTGTGTAAATCACAATGTCTTACTGGAAAAATTGAAATTTTATGGAATCTCGGGTTCAGCAATAAAACTAATGAAATCATACCTTGAAAATAGATATCAAAGAACGATTATAAATGATAATAATTTGAATAAAGTATCCTCTAAATGGATGATGGTCAAACATGGAGTGCCGCAGGGCTCTGTACTGGGACCACTATTATTTCTTATTTACATTAATGATTTCCCATCTTCCTTAAGAAAACTAGCTCAGCCTGTATTATTTGCTGATGACACAAGTATTATTATATCTAATTTGAATCCTGAAAAATTTAGAAGTAATGTTACCTTAATTTTTAATGAAGCAATGATATGGTTTAAAAAAAACTTTTTAACTCTAAATTGTGATAAAACACAGTTTTTACAATTTTTCCTAAAGAAGCATAGAGAAATAGAAATCCAAAGTACAATTACTAATACATTAATTACAAATATTAATTGTTCAAAGTTTTTGGGAATAAATATAGATAGTTCATTGTCATGGAAAAATCACTTAACTTTATTATCAGTAAGACTAAGCAAAGCATGTTTTGCAATAAGGGCAATAAAACCCTTTATGTCATTGGATACAATAAAGACGATTTATCACTCTTATGTGCATTCAATATTGAAGTATGGCATTATCTTTTGGGGTAATGCCCCTTTTAGTAAGAACATTTTTAAAATACAAAAAAGAATCATAAGAATTATGTCTGGATCAGGAAAATATGATTCTTGTAGGGAATTGTTTAAAAAGTTACAAATATTGCCACTCCAATCTGAATATATTTTTTCTTTGCTTCTCTTTGTTATTAAGAATAAAAATTATTTCAAATTTAATACAGAAATACATAATATTAATACCCGTTATAATTACAATTTACACTTACCCTTTACAAATTTATCAATTGCACAAAAAGGAGTCCTGTTCTCTGGAAGCAAATTGTATAATAAATTACCTTTGAATATTAAATCATCATCTGGAGAAATTAAGAAGTTCAAATTTTTATTGAGAAGATATCTCACTGAACATGCATTTTATAGCATTGATGAATTTTACCAAACTACTTCCCGATGAATATTTTTATAATACTTTATTAATAATTTATTTTTTAACACACGATTACATTAAATTATGTAAATGATTTCAGACTATTGTATGACTGTGACAGGTATATATGATATTTAACTGGTATGTGAGGCGTTATATTTATTGCTTATATTTATCTTGAAACTAAAGCGCATAATAATCTTTTGTACTTAATATATTTTGGGTGGAATTGTATATAGAAGATTCATGTTATTGATAATTTAAATTCTTTGTTTTAATTTGTTTGTATTTAATGAAATTGTTATCTACACTGTGTACTATTTTATATCGTTTTTATTGTTTATCTTGACTGTTTCAATGTTTGGAACTTATTTTAATATTATTATTGACATGTTCTATATCCAGGGTTGTATTTCAACCTATGTTTTGGATTTACTGAATTTGAAATAAATGAATGAATGAATGAATGTATGGTATACATGAAACCCATTCATAGTAGTTGAGCTAGTAGAGGAAACCTCTAGGTATTCTGATTTTCTGGATGTCCACTTCTTAAATTAGAACCTTTCTCTTGAAAAGAAAATCCTATTCCAAGTGCTGTAGCAAAGGTGACAAAGAACTTATTGGCTTCACTTCTGAGGAAATTTGGTGAAGCTATAACAATTAGTCAAATGCACCGCCTTGCAATTAGACGCATGATGGCTTCATGTTCAAAGGTCAGAGTACCCACCAAATCACAATCTCGCAAACATAGCTGTTTACAGAAAGAAAATTCACATAAAATCTAGAAACACAAAGAACTGATGTCTCATGTTTGACTGAAAATATCCCATAAATCGTATAATAGCCATTTTACTACATGCATGAAACCTCTGATAAGAAAATATACCATTAATAATCAATATTCTACTAAAATCATTTGAGTATATTCTAAGATGTAACTTACTGAGAGATACCAATTCAACTGCACCAACAGAAGAAATAGATTGCTTGTAATTTTTGGTACCCATACGTGAAAAATGTATGAAGTTTTTGTGATTATATTCTCAGATTTCTTACACACTGAAACTGAAATAAAGTCAATAATAATTTTTGGAGCATTTCCATCAGATTTCCATACCTCTCCCAATTCCCTTGCCAGGATCTGTAAGCCATTCATGTGCTACACACACATTGGACTAGGCCAAGGATATATTTATTATTATTTAATTGCAAAGTGGTTTTCACCTGGTGGCAGTGGTATTATAATAAGATGACAAATAACAAACCCTAAATTTCAGAGTACCATAATGAGGATGACTATTCATAATGAAATGCAAATGCAAAATATATATAATCCATAGATAATGCAAACCCAAAACTCTTGCACTCACTCAAGTTAAAACCAATGTATTTTACAATATGCGGCTACAGAATTAATGCCAGCATCATAAAGTAGGTTATTTTTGTTCACTGTGGGAATTTCTGTGAAAATAAAGAAATCACTTGAATCCTTTTATGAAAATTTACAGAGATTACCTAATGAAAACAATTAAAATCATATCAGTTGTGCCTATATAAAACATTTAATTCCACCCATTAGCAGGAACACCTGAACATCATAGCAATTCAAATATTTTTCTCCCCACATTTGTATTCAGCTGATGTCCACCTTCTTTCTCTTTGCATATGCCCTTTGGTCCAAGACAAGCCTTCAAATCTTAAAATATAGAAGATCCCTAATACAAGCAATTGAAGTTCTTGGAATGAAACTAGGCAGGGCAACAGATGGAAGAAACATACATGCTTCAAACAGAATTTAAACTCAAGATCTCAGCAATGAAGCACTTCAACACTATTTAAACCTCTGTTGTTCAGGAATAAGGATTTTAAATCCACCATTACAATGGTTGGCAGACATATTTAAATTTGGCAGTAACAGTAAGAGTCAGGGCACCCTGAGGATGGAGGCCATAGAACCCAATGAAACACTGCTGCTTATCTAGCACACTTCATGTTGTCACATCGATAACACCATAAGATACACTGCTGCCTGTTTCTTATCAGTTCCTTGCTTTGCGTACTCTTCGACCCTGAACATGGGGGGTGATATGTTCCTCTGAAATGTTGATTCCCCGCTCAAAATTAGAGGGCAGCACAAACCAGAAGCTCTACTCTGCAAATATACAGATGTTCGATCCAGCATAACATGACATTATAACCCAAAGACTACACACTAAACATAATAGTTCATAAGTAAAAGTAAAGTAAAGGTATTCCTGTAACAGGCCGTGGAGGCCCATAGGGTTGTGAGTTGTTGAGGTTCCCACCATTTTCTAGACAATCGGTTCATAGAGGGCGGCAAGGTTGTCACCCTTAATTTTTTTAATTCACTTAGAGGGGGGTGGAGTCCAACTGGGTCCACTCGGTATGGCGGCCACTGATTGGCCTATTGTGGTCTGCCCCGGGTGATTATGATGATGGAAAATTTGGTGGAATGAAGATTGGCAGGGGAAACTGAAGTACTTGGAGAAAACCCACCCCAGCGCCACTTTGTCCACCACAAATCCCACTTGACCAAGCCCGGGATCGAACCGTGGACGCCGTTGTGGCGTGGCCTTGTCAGCCTTAAGCGCTGGCCGCCCTTTACCCACAAGAATATTCCTGGTACTCATTTCTGCTAGAGACTGAGTCAACACCAGGGCCATAGTGCGGCAGGAAGATTAGGTCAATTGAAAAAATCCAATGACCTCATCAGGACTTGAACCTGCGACCTTCCGGCTTGTAGCATAGTGCCTCAACCAATTACACTACCGTGTGCCCCCAACAGTTCAAATATAAACAAAAACTACAAGTAAATGCATTACTTTCCAGTTCCGTTCTACGTTTTACCTCTATGTTTCCATATGGTAACACTGTGACAGAAGAAAAAGTGTCAATGAATTTTTGCAATACACAATACCATACCATATCTCAAAATATACTGGCTAAGTGAATGTTGAGAGAATCATTCTCGGATTAAATCACACTGCTCCCTTCAATTTGGCTAGAAGTTCTGCATTTGGAAATTAATCATGTTATCAGACCTATCAGAACATGACTTCCAATCAGAGAATACTTGATATTTCATTACAAATAAACCCAGTGGTATTACGAGCAATGACAGGGGAAACATCCACGCTCCAAGCAAGATTAAAACCGATCCCATACAATGTGTTCTTCGACACATTTACATCCAACCGCTTACCTCAGCAGACCTTCATCTGTTGGAAGAACTTTCAATGGATTCAAATGTGTGGAAAGTGCTTCCCTTGTGGAGTTACAAAGCGCAGCTAAGGGAACTTGAAACATATCAGGATCAACAACACTTGCCATGTCTGCAACGAAAAGGGCAAACACATGAATTTAAATTGTGCTAATATTTAATGAGGATACTGCTGCTATTCACTGACAACGTCAAAAGGCTGAAAACTGTTTTAAGAGACTTGTCAATGACATTGTGTCCAACATACCGTGTATTTCTTGTTGACCTGACAAAAACTCTAGAACCTCAACACCAGATCATGAAATCCTGACCACGGGTCTACGTATCATATCACTCTGCCGGCCACGATACACAGGTGCACTTGACGGCCAACATTCTTAAAACGCGTGCGCACGAGCTTAGGGTCCTTTATGCTTGGGAACATTTCGAACAAAAGCCCAGATAACGATCACAAAGCGAATGTTCTTTCTCTCGTCTCTTTTTTACTTTTAAAGTGCAGCCCGTCCGGAAATCGGTTTCTGCGTTGTTGCATCACGAAGTTCCGAGGAGCGTTGCCACTCACCTACGTCTTCCATTGATTTGAATAGTACAAGTTACGAAATACCAACAGTGATCCCCCTTAATAGGATAGAAGAAATCCCTAGTTGAAGTTACTGACGCTTATTGTTTTTTTTTAAATATATGTCGAAATGACTGTCAATCTGGCAGCGCTGGAAGAACATTATCATTGTTGCTAAAAATGTGCTCTCCAAGTCCTGACTTACGCGAATGTCATCGAACATATCCCAGAAGAAACTATCTTCTTGAAACTAGTTAGGGCGCCCCATAGCTGAAGCGGTTAGTGGCAGGCTTCCCACCGCGGCGGCCCGGGTTCGATCCCGGGTCTGGTCAAGTGGTATTTGTGATAGACAAAGTGGCGCTGGGGCAGGTTTTCTCCAAGTACTTCGGTTTCTGCTGCCATTCTTCATTCCACCAATTGCTCCACAATCACCCTCGCCTATGATCTTGGACTGGTACAATAGGCCAGAAGTGGCCACAGTACAAGGGACTTAATCCCACCCCACTAGCAATAAAAAAAATAAATCTTCATAAAACTGTATCTCCAGAAACATTCTCTATGGTGTACCAGACACACAACAGCCCCAATAGAGTTCAGGCGACTACCTGAAACACGTGAGAGATCAAGAGGAACAAATATGTATAATAAAATGCAGGTAAAGCCAAGCACAGTGGTTACGCTGTATTCGATCACTCTATCACAGGGATCATTGGTTCGAATGTCACTTGCAGCATGCATGAGATTCGGGGCTGTTCGTGTGTTCGTGTTCCCTGAAGAGGTAAAGGCGTTTCGATGAGCCGATCTCTCACCAGGAATCGTACAGAATATGTTAAAAGATTCACAGTGCCAGAAATTCATTCTGATGTTGAATAGGAACGAGGGTCTAACATGTGAAATCTCAAGCAGAAGGTAAAGTTAAGTTGTCTCTGTGCTTAACTAATTAGCACTAAACCATGAAGGCGTATTGGGGAACGGATATATAGATCCATATTTTCTTGACATCGGCACTATTTGGAGGTGAGTGGTCAGGTTCAACCCCCGTCGTTTTACACCCGGGGAAAGAGCCTCTAGTACCCATTGGATAGGAGGTTTGGTGGACCCCAGAGCCGGTCTGGACGAGGTGCAGAAGAGAAAATTCTTGACCCTACCGGGACTCGAACTGCGACCTCTCCGTTGTTCAGCCTCTAGCCAGTCACTATACCGAGAGAAATTTTTACCCATTAGTCCTCGATAATAGTTCCATCGAATCTGACTCACTTCACGGTGACTAACTTAATATCTTCTGCGTTTACTCGGCTGGAAAAGACCGGATTCCAGGCTGCGGACCTAAACGTGCTAATTTATTCTCTACCCGGATGTGAAGAACGCAAAACTTGAACAATGCCTACATAATCAAAGTGAGAATCCCTCAGGTAGTTAGGTCTTAAAACATATTTGGTTTATAACAGGAATTACTGTTCTCCGTGTTAAATAGTTCTTTGTAATTCTCACATTGAAAATGAAAACGAAATGTTTTTCTTTTGGAAATAAAAATTTTAATTCTGGAAAATTTTATGCATGGATATTTTAAAGGAGTATGTTGCTGAAGCGTTTATTGGAAAATATATTTTAAAAAGAATGAACCAGTCGGCTTTGTTGGGAATTATTGGTGACATTTTGAAAATATATCGAAAATAACTGGAATTGGTTCTATAGGCTGCACTTGGCCTGTAACACATTACCGGTCTCTACTCTCACTTTTTCCTTGATAACAAATCTGTTTGAAGTTAATGGAAATATTGAAAATCATCGCGAGCCACCGTGACAGTAAAATTCGCGAACTCATCACGGTATAAGTGCTACATACCTCATTGCTGATTATCACTGTGGTCGCCTTCAAAGTACTCCCCTTAGGAAGCTATGCACCGACGCCAGCGCAACACTTCAAAGCAATTTTGGAACTGATTTTGTGGAATGTCCATCAATGTCATCAGAATGCCAACCTTTCAACATTTCCTTTATCTTCGGGGGCAGAGAAAAGTCACTGGGAACTAGATCCGGTGAATGGGTAGGGTATTCCAGCACAGTCATTTGTTTACTAGCTAAAAATTCTCTCACGGACAGTGGTGCATTGTCGTGATGCAAGATCCATGAGTTGCTGGCAGTAAGTTTGCGTCGTTTCCGTCTAACTTTTCATGCAGCCTTTTAAGTACTTCAAAACAGTAAACTTGGTATGCCCAAGTCATCTAACCACACTGAGGATTCTGTCCACTGCTGCCATGGCAAGCAACCGGTGGCGAGATCGCGAACTTTACTGTCAGACCTCGTTCATATAAAGTGAACTTATTTTTGCCATCTAATTTGAGTGTTCAGATTTTGTGTGAATGAATTCATTTCTATTTCTATATTTAAGTCTGGGTTTAACATCACGTTTGTTATAATCACACATTATTCACTGACCGCCTGATCCGATATGACCCGCAGTGTTTCAGAATTCTACAGAAGATTAACAAAGTCAATATACATATTCACATATCAGTAGTAGCGATCATGGTGGCACGAATAAACACAAAACAAAAGAAGACGGGAAATATTCTCTGGGGCAGAAGTTTTCGTTGATAATTCTCTGTTAATTTACATGTATGTAATGAGGTTTTGTTTGCATTTTTAATTACTTGTAGCTTAAAAAATGAAATATGAGTCTGTATCCATTCGGATATCATGCCAGTTTGTATCCGAATAATTTGCAAGAAAATTTATTTGAAACATAAAATGATTACTTTAATGTAATTAGCAAGTGTGCTTATCGACGTATATATTTAACAATAGCATGGTCACGTGATCTTTCACTCAGGTTGATAGATGCTATTCATTTTCGTTGTATCATACATACTTCGCCCATTGAGAGGGCAAGTTAGCTACATAAAGAGGCCCATGTTTTCTGATATTCAGAGTTTCCTTTCCTGTAGAGGTGCATTTATATCAGAATTAATTTTGAAGAAAATATATATGCCTTCTTTATATGCTATAAATAATCCGACATAAAATGTTGCTTTGTGACATATTTTATTACACAAAAGTATAAAATACATTGTAATAAATTACAGTATAAGAACTGGACATGTTCATTCGTGAGACAATGGCAGTATTCTATTGACATGTCAGTACTGACACTATACCACAGGAAACAAAACTCCTGCTCGAATTCATCCAATGTCCCAGGAACAAAAGTTCTCCATATGTTACGTTCCCACGCCTTATCGGCCCCCTATAATAGGCGTACTTCAACAGACTGTATGATATGAGGCTTTCCCTAATACAGCCATATACCAGGATACCATCCAGTCGGGGATTCCCCGATTTGCACGTTTCCAGTACTGGTTGTATGAAAACGGTCATACTTCCGTTCTCGGTCGGTAAAGGAGTATGTAAGGAAAGAAATGTTAGTAAACACCATGCCTATCACCGTTGCAGCATGCTCACTGTGTCTAAATGATGCTAACTTTGGAAATGAATTCAGTTTTGCCTTCATTATATATTGAAAATAAAAAGGATTTTTGTTCTATGAGCCTGTAAACAAATGAACATTCTTATTTTGTTGAGATCCTAAATAGGCTACGAGATTCCTGACAATTTTTATATAAAATTTGTTCATAATTAATTTCAAATGATGATTCAATTTTCCTATATTTTATGAAATTATATTTTTTAATTTGGCAACGCTTAAGTCTGCTTAAATCATAATAATAACGTGCCACGTATATAATTGTATATAATGGAAAAAATATTTACTTCTTTCAAAAAGAATTCTGACATAATTATTTGCAGCTCTTAAATGAGCTCAGAAAAATTAAACGGAAACGAAAATATCTGAGATAATAAATAAGATTATTCCTCATCGTAATGCCTTTTGTTACCATCTTATGAAACTCTCGAGGTTTCAAGGATAATGGTAAGTTACAGAACTCTGATATCATTATAAAGCTGCTAACTGAAAATATTTTCTCTTCAGTAACATAAATGTTATTTCCTTTGCCATATTCTTAGTAATGCCACTTGTCATGTATTATATTTGATGTTATTACATGATGTTTTCGAGATCAGAATTTTCTCCACCGTAAAGGAATTCATATACGGCTGTAGCCATGTCGTCATAATCGGGCTTACTGCTTGCCCAAGACAGGGATCTCAGTTCTCCGCTCCCAATGTTGTCCTCGTCGGGGGCAGCCATGTCATCACCAGGGGTGTACCTCTCCCTCACGTCCTTCATGATGCAAGCTTCTAGCTTCTTATGCTACAGAAACAGAATACTCACATCGTAACATCATATTCTTACCATGCGGTATGTGTGGAGGTTAGAGTTATAGTGATCATGAAATCTTTTGTCACTTAACTGCGATTATGCTCTCTCTAAAAAAAAATCTTACAGTCATTTTCCTTAATATTCACCTAAATATTATCCCTTTATCCATTCTTCATCTTAGAAATGACCTATCTGGGCGACATGTCCCAAGAAAATGTTTTATTTCTGACATCTCTGTGTTCTTAGCTTATATTTCTTTACTTTGCGGTAATATCTAATCAGCCAAATGTGGTAAATTATTAAAACCCTCGTCATTCATGCTTTTATATTTTCTAATCCGTTAATTTGTCATATGGTCTAACATTTTCCTTGTAACTACTCTTTGAGCTATTTCTAGTAAGTTTCATTTCTGATATATGTATTTCCACTGTTTTTTTTTTTGTCTAGTGTTACAATTTTGTTACTGTGAGGTGTGCGTCTTTGGCAATGTGACGATAGTAATAAACGAAACAATGATTCATACGTAACTTCCCATGACCTGGTTTAAATAAATATTGTGTATTTTTATATCCTTTAATTTTAGCTGTGGTTTCTAAATAACGGAAAGAAACACTATTTATGAATAACAAATGAATTATTACGACTTACCTTGTAGCATCTGAAGAAAAACATGGGTTTCACTAGTTCTCGAGAGAGCTGAAACCTATCCTTTCTAGTCTCAGGAACACATTGCTGCAATTAAAAGCGACATTTAATTAACTCTTATTTAGTGAAATATTTTAGGACTGTAAGCAGGTTTTACCTTAGACAGAACCATATCTCTTTCTTACACATGTCTCTTACTCCAGATCTAAAAATTAAGTCGAAACATCCATCTACGTCTCATATTTAATTGTAGTCTTACAACTAAAAGCTAGAATGTTAATATACTGCATATTTTAACAATGTCCCATGTGTGGAAGGAAAAGAGAAATCCCAAAATTCTATGTTCAGTTTCAGACATAGTTTAATTAAATTTTAATAGTATACCGACCGCAGGAATATTAACACACGCAACGATAGAGGCACCAGTATATACACGTGCACACATGCAAGTAATTATAAGTTATTCGTTTCACAAGGGACATGACAGAGAAATAATTTGTCGAGAGTGAAATGTTTCTTTGGCGACAATAGTCAACGAAGAATAACGCGGGAGACCTCGAAGCTGAAAATAAATTGTGAGGTAAATTAAGTTGACATTCTATGAAATTTATGTAGTAAAGAACAACTTAGGAATTGAGTTCTACATATATATTAATAATTCTGACATGTGGGCTTATTTTTGTTAAATTATGTAGAAAATGTGCAAAACCCACGGAAAATTTTATGAAGCATAATATATATGTTTCATTTTTCTTTATGACTTGTTTTCGGAAACTTTTCGTTCTTAAAAACGGTCGAGATGCCCGCAGGAACGGATACAGGTGGTCATATGAATTGTTACGTTTTGTTTAACCCAGATTTAATCAAATAATATTTCTCTCACATATTTTCGTTACCCCCCCACCCCCACCCCAAAAAAAATTCAAACTTCTCTAAAATCCGTTCCTCTGTTCTTGAGTTGCGTGAGGATAGAAAGACAGACTTGGCGAGGATACTAAACGCATTGCTACAAATCGTCATTGAGAACGAGCTTAAAACTGGAAATTAAACTGTTCATTTTCCAAGAACTTACGAAGTAGGTAGAAGCTTCCGGAGGTGAAAATTTTGATGAAATGGAATATCGTCTCAACGACTATATTGTGGCCCGCTTCATTAGATGAGGTAGTCTGTTCCTCAGAAATTGTATACTAACCTACTAGACTGTAACACGGCCTCATAACCCAGGGGATTTTTTTCCCTTGGCACTACAGCCCCAGTGGGCCTAGGCCTACCTCCATGAACTTCTCCGTTCACTTCGGTTTTTCTAGATCTTACACATTTGGTAGGACTCCTTGGGCGGGTGATCAGCTCGTCGCAAGGCCTCTACCTGTACACAAACACAGAAAAACGCACACACACAAACTAAACATCCATGCCCTGAGTGGGATTCGAACCCACGATCCCGGTTTCCAAGCGAGCGAAGAGAGTACATGCCAACCCAGAGGATTACAACATGAAATTTCGACGCCGCAAAAACCTCAAATCTTACATCTGAATAATGTTAATATCTCTATACCCCAGTTTGGGCCCTGGCCGCTTCCTTCAGTTTCTTAATCCTATACAAAGTTCGTAGGACTCCTTTGGCCGGGGATCAGCCCGTCGCAAGGCCGCTGCCTACACAGAACAGTACAACCAGAAAATGAAAGCAGAGAGCTATGCCTCGAACGGGATTCGAAACCACGATCCTAGTGTTGGAGTGGGCAAAGACATTTCATTTCTTAGGCGACACTGCTACTGTGTTCGGCCATCTGAATAATTAGTCTTAAAACTAAAATTTACGAACATGATTTATTTTATAATAACAGATCTACTGAAGTAATTCTAAGGTCAGAAGGTCACAAAAGTCTATCCTAGGCGCGTAATTGAAAACCAGAAGACGAGTTATTCAAGAATATTGTCATATTCAAAACAAACCTATGTACTCCTGCAATCGGAAAACGCTTTGGCCTAAAAAATAATCAGGTGTTCTATGTTGTCTGTCAGCTTGCATTATTTACGTCAATAATCGTGTCGAGTTTCGTGGGCGTCTGTGTAAATATTAGCATTGTCCTGTAATTCTAGATATATGAACTTAATATTGTTCGTCTTCAAGGCAATTACATGGAAATGGGTACGGTCTGTCTTACTTAAAAATAGTTTCAAGTTATGAGATTCAAATTTGTTTCATACGGCAAACTGTTTGCAGAACTGGACGCCTTCAACCATGTCCTTCTTCAGTTCCTCTCCAACTGGTAGTCTGTTGATTCTTTCTGAAATCTTCTCAAAGTTGGGCTCCAAATTCTCATCCAACTGCAAATTAAAAAAAAAAAAAGATAAAGTAAAAAGTAAGTAAAAGTATCCCTGTAACAGGCCGTGGGGGGCCCATAGGGTGTGAGATGTTGAGGTTCCCACATTTTCTAGACAATCGGCTCATAGACGGCGGTAAGGTTGTCAGCCTCACACGCTGGCCTCCCATTACCCCCAAGAATATTCCTGGAACTCATTTCTGTTAAAGGCTGAGTCGACCCCAGGGCCTAGTGCAGCTGGAAGGATTAGGTAAATTGAAAAAAAAACCTCATCGGGATTCGATCCCGAAAAATATATTTTACAAAAATTCTTGTATTCTAAATTAACGCTAAAATTAAACTTAATTTACTGTTTGAAAAACGAACTTGTACTATGTGATGAAGGACGTCCTGAATACCAAATTAATCATAATATATCCTATGTATCTGTCAGAAGTGAAAGGTAAGATATATACACGTTACTTAACTTGATACAGGGCTTCCTCGCTTCTGTTCTCTTTTATAGTAGCCAGAATGTTATATCGATGAATTCTGCATTACTTCGCTAGGTGTAATTTTCATATGTTCCGTATTTTCGTATTTATGTACAGATTCAGCCGCAATTATAAATTGCAGTGGCCCGAATTTATGATTTACAGTCCCACTTGTCACAAAATGTGAAAGATAATCCTTTATTGAAAAATGCTGACTTCCTGCCACAGCCACTAGTCACAGTGCCTCTGTGTGGTTACGTTACCGGAAAATGTTGAGATGCATAAGAGTTATTATAATACGTAAATAGTTCTGAGCTCGTAACTTCTTTTGCCTCCTCTTTTGAAGGATTAAGCCCTCTTATATGTTTCTACGCAGAATTAATCTGAAAATTATTAATCTTACGAAGTTTTTAGGATTCCTTCGACAGAAGGAAGGGCTCAGCAGGGGATCAGCCCATCGCAAGGGCGCAACCTACATAGAACAACACAAACACAGAAAAAACGTAAACATACGTTATGCTTCCGGTGGGATTCAAACTCACGATCCCAGTTTTCGAGCGGGCAAAGACATCTCGTGAATTATACCCTTCAGCTACTGTAATTGGTTGATTCTGAAGCTACTAAGTCTCCTTAGTTCATTGTTCCAATTCAATTCATGACGTCCCATGACTGCTGATAAGATTATAGGTATTTCCTCGGTGCGTACTAAGCGAAAATTAAATTCATGAATACACAATGCACTAATAGTGCGTCTAATGAAGGAACGGTTCATTGTTTTTCAACATGTGGGTGGCGGGGATGTCTTGCAATGGTCGCAGAGTATCAGAACACATAGACCCCTCCATAGCTCAAGCGGTTAGTCGCTGGCTTCCCACCGCGCCGGCCCGGATTCGATCCCTGGTCTGTTCAAGTGGGATTTGTGGTGGACAAAGTGTCAGTGGGGCTGGTTTTCTTCGAGTACTTCGGTTTCCCTGCCAATCTTCATCCCACCAAATTCTCCCTCATCATAATCACCCAGGCCAAGTACAATAGGCCAATCAGTGGCCGCCGTGCCGAGTGGACCCAGTTCGACTCCACCCCCACTAAGCGAATTAGAACATTATTATTATTATAATATGCTTCATTTCGAAAAATTATCTCTCTAAAATATATTCTGCTTGCTTAAAAAATAAATACATGGATATTTAATACATTTTCGCCTATCTCATTAAAGCAGGTAAGCCCCAAATTCAAATTGGCAACAATACTTATTGAAATCGGCTACCATTAGCTAGTAACTCGACCCTCGACAGACGGTCAAGTCAACAATGTGTTCAAGCAATATATCCTCTTTAAGTTCCCGCTTTCTAATTCGCATAATATTGCCTGATCGTGGATAAAGTAGAGTAAAGAAGGATTGTAGCGCGCATGCTTCAGTTAAGTATAAAGACTATTTAGTCTTTGAAGGAATTTGATTATTTATGTGTGGCTGGTTTCACTGTTTCGAATGTTTTTAATGAGAAATGCTGATATGAGAAAATGCGCACGGGCCAATTTGGTTAACAAAGGAATGACCGAAAAGGGCACGTATGTTGAATTCTGAAGAATTAAGAAGCTCAGATCTCTCACAAAAAGACTAAACAATCGCTACTGTCACAATATAATTTAATACATTCCTGTCTGGGTTGTTGACTTTTATTCTTTCAAAAAGTAAATTCCACCGCTGGAACGGTTGAAATTGGAACTAACGTTTATAAAACACTGTAGTTATGAATGAATGGCTAAGAACCCTATTGAAGTCTCCTAGATTATGGCACAATGCTGTCTTGTGTTTATGTACCGACGTTTCGGAGCAGCATACTTCATTGTATCAGTTACTCTTCGAAACTGGATCACTTATATCCTGAAGTTGGAGAAGTATATTCCTCCAAAACGTTAGTACCCACTACACGGCAACAGTGTCTTATCGCCATGACTATGATATGAATTTTCGTCACCCTTGCTTGTTTCAGACCTCTTACAGTGGCAAAGTTGCTAACTTCCGCGTAAAAGCAGTAGAACTTAATGAATGTGTAATCATTGTGCTCTCATACTGACGTGTGTTCTGGGTTACTTCCATACACGTCCTGCCTCGTCTGGTACGGCGCCGCTTAGGAATAAGAACTTCTGAAGAACTGATAACTTACGTAGCCGAGTTCCTGCATCACACACGTCACATTCCTTATCTTGCCGCTGAGGCGTGACGTCAGAGTTTCCAGTTGTCCTCTGATGTCGAGATCTCTCTGTGAAACACAGGACAAGATCTGTGAGTCCCCTCTTCACACTCAGCTAATGTCATTCAAGACGCAAGCATATTACAGGAAGCTTCTGGGTCAAGAGTCAAGTCACTGGTTCGTAAAGTCTAAATTCATGAAGTTCTGTAAAATTCATGATTTATTTAATCCGTCTTGCAGTGCATACATTCATTTATCTCCTTCTTTCCCTCGCACTACATGTTTCGGCATAATAATGCCATCTTCAGGTGCTTACTTGTCCACGTCAAACCAGTTCATTGCATGCCATGNTGAAGGAGTGCTCCAACAAAGGAGAATGGGCGTGACTGACGTAGTGAGGGGCGACGTAGCGATGTGGTATCCTGAACAATTTTAATATTTTTAACGTTTGACAATGTATATGATAGATACATATTTTAGTTATTTTAATGTGTGAACATGGCATGCAATGAACTGGTTTGACGTGGACAAGTAAGCACCTGAAGATGGCATTATTATGCCGAAACATGTAGTGCGAGGGAAAGAAGGGGATAAATGAATGTATGCACTGCAAGACGGATTAAATAAATCATGGACTTAAATCAGTGCAACAGGACGCTAAAATATAACATTCTGTAAAATTGTAAAACGCTTATTACCAGTGAAATGACAGAAGTAGACCTTACTATGTAGTGGCAATACGTCCCAGATTTTCGAAGACAGTCCCCGAAAAGTCCCGGACTGATTTTCCACCGATTTGTTAGAAAAATTAATGTAATTTGAAAAAGAGGAACCGCGAAATACTTGGAGCAGCGAGCTATGTATCAGGCGGTGAAGGCTTCGGTACCAGAACTCTCGGCATTACTAGTTTTTCGGACTTGTCCATCGTCCGGTATTCTAGAAGCTAGAAAATACAAGTGATTTAGGTTAGCTCTTTCTAAGGGACATAACAGAGTAGGTGTCTTCTCTCCACCCCCCCCCCTGCCTCATCTGTGGAGGGAAACAGATCCGGTTTCCGAAACATTGTGTTTTCTAGCTTCTACAATACCGGACGATGGTTAAAGTCCGAAGACCCAGTTACTCTGAGTATTATTAATTAAATTTAGCTTATTACAATTCGGCAGAATTCTTCATCCTTCCTCCGACTTCCACCAGTAAATTTCGGATGGTTGTCCCCGAAAATTTAAAGAAAAAACATTATCATTCTACCTTAATAAGTACCAGTCTTAGGGTTCTTTATGAATCCGAACGGTGAACTTAATGAAATAAGGAACTGAAATACATAGCAGAAATACTTTTCGTGAGGGCTCTTTCAGGTTGTAAACTAAACGACGATATAGTAAAATAATTCAGAACATTACATATCAATAAAAAAGTAAAAGTTATCAGAAAATATGGTTAAATATTTGGATTGAATGCTAATGCTGTTATATCAATATCAACCTGAGAATGGAAGATCGCCCGGCAGAAAGATGGAAGAAACAGTTTTGAAGCTCCTAGCCGGAACAGACCAAGAGCTCAACCCGAAATTTTGATGACTGTAACCTTAGAATTAAATTACATTTAGCAGTAAATATATTTCATTTTGTCTCATTATCATGAAACATTGTTAGATTTAGTTTCAGAATTATATTTTCAGGTTAGTAGTCCGGTGCTAGGAGATGAGCTATGTTATTCATTTTGAGTGTGAACTCTCAGTTTTGTTGCAGACCAATATCACTCCCACATACTCTCGCGGTTACAACTTTGCGAGCATTTTCGGAGGTAATAGGAAGACCCGAACGCTGTTTATCTATCACACAAACCGTTTCTTAAAGCTCTACGGCACGTTTCAAACAGCGCTCTGTGTTTCGGGATGGATTTATTCTAGACGCCTAAATGTATCTGCAACTTGCCCATAATTTTCCTTTTTCTTACTTGTAAGAAGGTTTATTTAAAAAAAGTAGCGAGTGCTGAAACATATCTGAAATTATTTATGGGTCTTTGTAGCCTAAGCATAGGTTTTGATAATAATAATAAAATAATGATAATAATAATAATAATCGAAAATATTGTCGATGTTATCCATTTTTCGAGTTTAGGAACAACAACTGTTAAACTTTACGAAACTGTTATTTCCAACATTTCAATTTAGACCCAACTAGTAACTTTTATGTCATTAGCCAAGCTTCATAACATCAAGATGGCTTACAAAGTTAAGGTCGGGCAAGGCACAGTGAACTGAAGCAAGCAAAAATAATAACCTTCATCAACCAAATATCAGTAGGTATTCTGTGTCGAGTAAGAAGTTATTTTCATTTCTCTGAGGACGTCATACAGCCCTGCGACCACAAGGTATATGTGTTCACATTCTGTGTTGGGGTACATTCACTGAAATATGTGACTTTTTTTTTTGTTTTCCCCTTGTATTATTCATTTCCTTTTAAACACATTTAATTTTTTATTGTTATGTACACGGTCGTAAGAGCTACATCTATAGATACGCCCATATAATTAAAGAAACAAATAAATAAAATTGTTTATAATATATTGTTGTAATTTGCTTAATCATTCATGTAAAATTAACCTCAATTTTACTAGATACCCATATACGAAATGTCCTGACAAAGAATCAATTCAATTTCAAATTGATAAATTTCACCAAACAGATCGAAAATCATGTTGAGTTCACATGTTATACTTTACCGAAACTCTCTGGCTGGATGAGTAAGACACTGCTCCAGGGTAGAAAGGAGACTGGAAATAGGGATTTGGCACTGCGGGGTAGACGCCCTGGTAGGACAGAGCTTGGGGGCTGTACAGAGAACCACCGGGCACAGCAGGGTAGTAAAAAGGAAATTGCTGGGGGTAGAATCCTGCAGGCCTGTACTGGGGCGTAATTGCAGGGTTCGGCTGCGCGTATCCGCCCAGGAGAGGATTCTATTAAAAAAGAAAAAAGAAAAATCAGTTTCAATGTTTTAATCATATTCGTTTGTTTCACAAATGTAGAATAGCTAAAGGTAACATTGCAAGATACTGAAAGATGAGAAAATGAAGAACAACTTTACCTTTTACCCACATATGCAACATAACCCAACCATCTCATATTACTTAATTTGATCAATCTAATAATATACTATGAGAATACAAATTACGAAGCTCCTCTTTGTGTAATTTTCTCTATACTGGTGTTTCCTTCTCTTCTCTAATGCACGCATATTCTCCTCGGTATTTTGTTTTCATACATCTTCAATTATTTTCTTCCCTTAGGGCGTTAGATCAAGTTTCACGCCCATATAAAAAGATATGTGAAATCAGAAGCTATTATTTGCATGTTTTAACCCATAGGTTTACAAAGAGAAGACGAAGTAATAAGGATTCGGAATTGATTGACAGAATCAATGAGCTACCAGAATATATTCAGTTTCGAAATAATGTCCGTGACAATTCACTCACCTGTTGCACTGGAGACCTGAAGCCTAGAATGGCTTGCTGTAGCCTAGTAGCGTCAAATGTGGGTGGAACAGGGCCTAGCAGAGGTTTCCTCTTGTCTGCAGCGTCCGCTGCGGCAGGGGCGGCCTGGCCGGGCGCTGTTGCGGACACGCCTGCGCACTTGGCGCACGCAGCTTTCATCTCCTGCCTCACTTCCTTCACTACGTCGGAACCGAAGCAGCTCTCGTACACCTGCACATTGCATGTCAACACACCGTGACTTCAACGGTTCTATCGTCTGTAATGTGACGCCGTGTGCTCTGGTGAAATCTACCGACGTTTCGGAGAACATACTGCCTCCGTCATGAGAGTCTGAGAGTAAGCCTAGCAAGCAACATGTAAAGCACAGGCACTAAACAGAGTGCCTCAACTATTACAGCTTTTTTTTTTTACATTTTATCGATATTACATAGTATCATGGTCTCATTAATTCAGTACACTTCTAAGTCATGTCAATGAGAAACTGATAGAAGAATTATAAAACAAAAAACAAACTCCGTGGCCTCTAGTCCGCAAGCGAGCTATACCGACCGAGCGACCGCCGCTTGTCAGCGAAGTTAATGCCAACTTATGCGGATAGAGGGTGTCACGTGGTCAGAGCAACGGATCCCCACGGCCGTTAATCTCGGTTTTCTAGATGGGAGATAGATGAATTATACGGAACATTAAGCCCTAGCGCCATTTTGTCCACCACAATTTCCTCCTAGAAATTCCTGATTTATGGTGCGGCCTCAGTGTTTCAGTTACAACGATTATAATTGTTCCATATTTTTATAAGACGTCTCAGGCCTCGTCTAAAATTCGACTATACACAATGTATCTATTGATAATGGAACCTCGGAATTCTATTTTCATACATGATTTTGTGTTGTTATAGTCACCTATTTTGATAGCTTTAAACTATTACGTTATGGTCAGCTATACCGAACCTTCAGATGTTCTTAAGAAATGCATTCTGACATCTTCATTCGTTGCATCTACTCTTTCCTCGAGTCCAGCATTCGGATCGATATAAAATCACTTATATAATTAGGTTAACCGTCGCCAAAACAAAGTGATTTATAATCAATAAATATTTTACAATTGACTCTTTATTTCCTACAAGAAGTAGAAATAAATGACCGTCTCTATGGTTTAATGGTCAGAGTTCCTGGTTACAGATCCAGAGGTCCAGGGTTAGATTTCCGGTGCCACCAGATTTTCTGAGAAGAAGTTGGTCTGGAACGGGGTCCACTCAGCCTCGTGAGGATAACTGAGGAGGTATTTCAAGGAAATAGCGGCTCCGGGTCTAAAAAAAACCCGAATTTAACGGCCGTGGGAATTCGTTGCGCTGACTACACGACACCCTCTATCCATAAAAGTTGGCACTAACTTCGCCGACAAGCGGCGGTCGCTCGGTCGGTATAGTTCGCTTGCGGACTACAGGCCACGGATTTTGTGGTTTGTTTGTAGTAGAAATAAATGTGCATTTGTAAATCACTTTGTTATGACGGCCGCTAACCTAGCTACGAGTATATACGTTAGGGACACGCAACAGTATGCACACTGTGAAGATAAAATCAGTTCTCTGTTATCATTCTATACATAATTTTGGTAACGTCAGCTTTTGGCAAATTTCTATGACTATGGGTTTAAAGGTTCACATCATTGTTGAAATTTATACAGGGTTTAACTGAAAGATACGGACAAACTTTTGGGAAAGATTTCCACATACCAAAAAACAAGAAAAATGTCCGTGTCAACATGTGTCCGGAAACATTTAATTTGTGAGTTATAGCTGAAAGAATATTGTTGTGGTCTATTTAATTGTCACTCGTTTTAGCCGTGCAGTACGATATATCCTATCATGGCCGGTGGATAGGCAGAGGAGTACCCTCTGCATGGCACGGACGCTCGCTAGATTTGAATCCTTCGGGTTCTTACCTGTGAGGGCACCTAAATTCCTTTGTGTATGCAGGTCCTGTTGACAACGAAGAGACACTTAACCGTCGCTTTGTGGATGCCTGGCAGACTACCCGCAACTAACCCGGCGTTTTTGTGTGGATGCTGCGGTCCATGACGAGATGTGTCGAGGTCTGCCTCGAATCTCGCGGAGAGCAAACTGAGAACTTATTATAAATATATTCTTTCAGCCATAACCCACAAATTAAATGTTTCCGGACACATGTTAATACGGATATTTTTCTTGTTTTGGTATGTGGAAACCATACCCAAAATCTATGTGCATATTTCAGCTACACTATATACAGTTAGATATCAGAACTGTAATTTTCACGGCAGCAAAAGTTAGGAATCTTCTCGAAGTGTCACTTCTGAAATTTGGTTTAAAATGGTCGGCGTTTCAATGAGTACAATTGTTCCCATCATCAGGAACTGATATGATATATAGCTTTCTAATGATATTCGGTGGGTTATCCTGAAAATATCGAGTAGCAATTAAAGTCACATTAAAAATAGGGTTCATTCTTGCACGCCGTGGGGGATGAAAGAGTCAAGATGCTGATTCCTTTCAGTGTGCGAACTCTGAAGAGGAAAAAGGGAAAGGATGAACTGGAAACATTGTTCTTAAATTAGAGTCAACTGGTCTGCTTGTAAGGTTCTAATTCCCTGAAATGGAATGTCGAATTGCGTAAAGCAACGAATCTCACAACACAAAATATAAGAAGTTAAGAAGTATTTTGAAGCACTGTAAATTAAAATTAAAATTCCATTAAACATTAAATTACCTTAAAACATTACTGTAATGAAACTGCTACAGTTCAGGAGCTCAGTTGTTCAGGGTAATGACAGTTGCATGTTTTTCAATAAAAAACCTTCAATCAAAGTTACGTGCAGTGAAGGAGAAGAACTAAAAATATTTTCCTTTATATTTTGGAGCAATTTCTTGGAAAGTGAAGCGGCGTGACAGTTCTTTGTATCCACGTTTGTGCGACTTTTGTTGCTCAAATAATTGCACAGACATCTGATTAAGGCTTTTCAAATAACTTTTTCGTTTACAGACCCCATAGTATAGAAGAATAAATTGTTGCGTTTTACACGCAAGCATCTATTAAGATAATTAAAAAATAATTACTTCCTTAAACAGCATCCATTGAGGCACCGAGATACAGCCATTTGGTGATTATGAGCGAATCAGCCAAATGCAAGTGTTTAACTGTTGCCTCAAGTAATGCGTCTACATTAAGAGACAACGACAAAGGACAGCGACCTGTTTTGTTAGTCTCTTCCGGTACTTCAGGATGCATCTACACTTTACCTCAGGTACCGTCCTTAAGATGGTGCTCTTGTGCTCTTCTCAAATTATAATTAGAATGATCAAGTCAAGGAAGATGAGGTTTGCAGGGTATGTAGCACGAATGGGGGAAAAGATGAATGTATATAGGATATTGGTGGGAAACCCATAAGGAAAGACACCACTAGGAAGACCAAGGAGTAGGTGGGTGGACAATATCAAAATGGATCTTAGAGAGATAGGATGCGATGGCATGGATTGGATTGATCTGGCTCAGGAATGGCGCTAGTGAACAAGGTAATGGGACTTTGGGTTCCATAGAATTGTGGTAAGGTCTTGAGTAGCTGCACATTGGCGGCTTCTCAAGAAGAGATCAGCTCCAAGAGTGAGTGACTGTCCATAGGAAACGGTCGGACAACATAAATGGCAAGTAGTGAAGAGGGTATGGTCTTTTTATGGAGTTCCAGACTAACCGATTATGCAATTATTGTAGCTAGCAGACCAGCTCAAAGCTTTGTTCTTCTAGGATGTATTGGGTATGTGAGACATCAAGGTTTAGTGACGAGAACATATGATAGGGTGTTGGTTTTGGAGCCAAGAGATATTCTCAAAGCTATATTGCATCATTCCATGCTGTAGTTTGTAGGTGCAGACAATGAAGACCATAGTCCGCCTTGTATAAGTTTACGTTTCTGGTCATCAGCTACAACAAACAATGTTTATTTAAACAGGCATAAGTTTAGATAATTTAGAGTCCCCTGTTCCAGTTGCATTGGTAACATGCAAGTCTGGAATTACGTATTTTTGTCACTGTATAAATACGGTATATATAAGTAAAGGTATCCCTGTAACAGGCCGTGAAGGCCCATAGGGTTGTGAGACGTTGAGGCTCCCACATTTTCTACACAATCGATTCACAGATGACGGTGAGGTTGTCAGCTTTACGCGCTGGCGGCCCTTTACCCAATGGAAGATTTCTGGTACTCATTTCTGTTAGAGGCCGAGTCGAACCCAGGGCCATAAGGCAGCTGGAAGGATTAGATCAATTGAAAAACTCCACCTCATCAGGACCCGAACGCGCGACCTTCCGGCTTGTAGCATAGTGCCCAAGCCAACTACGATACTGCGCGCCCCCACATATAATAACAAAAATTAAAAAATTATATAAATTTAAATTTCGCTTAAAACGCAGTTACTGAAACTGTCCCCCGACGTCCGCTTTATATCGACGGTCCACAGTATAAGGATTTAATAATATGATTATGAAATAGTAAATTGGAAAGGACATGGAAGAAATGATTTTAGGTACTATCGCACCTTTTAGTTGAGGAAACTGGAGAAAACAACGAAAGATTTGTGTCGTAGTAGCAGATGACCGGGATGGGAATTGAAGCTGGCATATCCCTTATATGAGTCACAAACGCTACGGCTGGAACCAACTTGCTCAGTGTTTGGCATTGCTTCGCCTCCGTTAGATACTCAATGACCACATGTGTTCAAGGCGAGTCCTAATTAGGTACCATAATATAAATATCTTATAACCAAGCAGCACCGTTTATATAAATGTATGGTTGCAACCGCTTCGTTAGCAAGCTATGACAATATTTCATTCCTCTCAAGAAACAAGATTCAAACAGCAATTTGCAATAAATATTTACTTAAGAAAAATAGCGATCTCCTCGTAGGTCCTCCTGAGGTACCGCCCCTAATGGCTACTGCAGAGGGATGCAGTGACTCCAGCCTTTGTCAGCCGAGTGTTGCTGATGGAGAAGCGCGCTTCTTACGGAATGGGCTACTCGCTAGCAACAAGCACACGTGTGCTTACGAAAATTTACATACCTTTCAAGAAGAACAACTCCATCAGCAGTTTGCAGTTAAGTGTTTGGCAGGTGTAATTAACGATCTCCTAGTCTTTCAAGAACTACTGCCTCGACTAACAAGGGCCCTCATACGTACAGTTTCCATTTGAACAATTACCGCGGCTATTGTTAACCCGGCAGACAATGTGGACACTGCATGATTGGGCCCTTGCCCATTCTTCTCGCGATGTTCTACGATATTGAGACAGAGACTATCCAAATCCATGGATAGGACGAAACAGATCAGTTGCACGGCCTCCGTGATCGCCCGAGCTCAACCCTGCCACTTTTACTTGTGTGACCATCTTAAGAATATCGTTAACGTCCAAAAATGTAAGACGCGAGACAAGCTGTGGAATGTCACTGAAGCAACTGAGAAGGTAACAGGCCTCAAGTCTTTCAGCGGACCAGGAATTCATGGCGCGAAAGGGTTCAGTTATGCGTTGACTGTAATGGGGGACCGTTTCAAGAGCTTTTCTAAACCGTCAGTAACTAACCAGATGTCGTTCTGTTCACAACTAATAAACACTTTATCCACAACTACGGTATATGCTAATTCTTTTCCCTGTGCTTTCTGCTGCCATATATCGAAGAAATTACGACCATATACCGTATTTACGCATGTATAGGCCGCACATTTTTTGCCAAAAATTCAAGAGGAAAACTGGGGTGCGGCTTATATTCGAAATATTCGAAATCACACTTCAATTTAAAAAAAATTATATTCATAATTAGTAATACAGGATGTTCTACTCCAGAAATAATATTCCAAGAAAATTATTTTTTCTATAATTTCTGTCTGAAAATTGTGCTGCGGCCTATACACGCACGCGGCCTATACATGCGTAAATACGGTATATAGACTCTATGTACGTATATGACTGTTTCTGCATGCCTGTACGCGTACAGGAGGATACTTATATTTATGATACGCAATTGGGAGACGCGGTAGCGTAGTTGGTTGAGACACCGTGTTAAAGCCCGGAACATCGTGATTTCGAGTCTCGGTAAGGTCATTGGACTTTTTCAATTTACCTAATCCTCCAAGCCGCAATATGGCCCTGGGGTCGACACATTTTCTAACAAAATTGAGTACCAGGAATCTTCTTGGGGAGTAAAGGGCGGCCGGCGCGTAAGGCTCACAACATCACCGCCATCTGTGAACCGATTTTCTAAAGAAAATGTGGGAGCCTCGACGTCTCACAACCTTATGGGTCTTCACGGCCTGTTACAGGGATAGCTGTGGCTTTTAATTGAGATTCGGCCTATATATGTCTTCCGGACACATATCTTAAATACGTCATGCTTCTTCTATGCCCTCCTCTTGAAATAAATACTAAAACCATACATGCGCGTTACATTACATTGAACAGTGCTGGAAAACTATTTTCTTACTGAATGGGCTTAGTACACTCCAAACTGTATCATTATCATAATTATTTCTCGCAAAAGTTGCATCACTATTTGTGTGTCAAGTCAAAGAACCTCAGGCAACAAATATATAACGGCCTTTTTTGCTTTTTTGTTTGTAACAAGCATCCATCATAAAACACTCGTTTTGTCGTAGGTTCTTCCCACGGCGTAGGGAGCGTATGAAATTGTGTGAGAGAATTCCACTTACAGTGTGGTATTTCAAAGAAGCAGCAAGCGAGCCATTTACTGCGCTTGGTGCAGTGTCGTCCCAGGAACATACATAATTTATGAATCGGAGTTCATTGTCCCTTTCCTTACACGCGGAGAACTCCATAACGCACTGTAGTGGGACTCATATACGTACGTTCCGACGCCATAACCGGAAGTTCCTCCGACTGAATAACGAGATTCACTTCTTTGGGGTTTTCCCCCAGTTCATCCAGGCTAAGCTTAAAAATCGACTTATTTAAATTTATAATAATCTTAACTTATTGAAAATTAATATCATCTCGCCAATTTTAAAGGCGACGTATGATCGAAAGCGCAGTTTTGGTGAACTTAGTAGAGCAGTGAATGCGGCACCTTTCCTTGCCTCGCAGATACGAAATGCCGTGGCAGATGCGTATAGCTGACTACAGAAACACTGGAGTTTTGTGGAATGGGAAATGTTATTTAACCTATATTTCTCTAACGTAATAGTCTGGCGGCGAGGAGCCGGGATAGCGTAGTCGGTATAGCGACTGGCTACGGGCTGGACGACCGAGGGGTCGGAGTTCGAGTCCCGGTAATGTCAAGAATTTTCACTTCTCCAATCGTCCACCCAACCTTCTACCCAATGGGTACCGGGGGTTCTTTCCCCGGGGTAAAGCGTCCAGGGCCTGTAGCTAACCACTCACCTCCAACTAGTGCCGAGGTCAAGAAAATGTGGAGCTATAGAGCCACTCCCCAATACGTGGCGTAGCGCTTAATTAGTTAAGAACAGGGACAATTTTTTTTTCCTTTGGCACTACAGGCCAAGTGGGCCTAGGCCTACCTCCATGAACCTCGTCGCAAGGCCTCCTACCTGTACACAAACACAGAAAAACGTACACACACAAACTAAACATCCATGCCCTGAGTAGGATTCGAACCCACGATCCCGGTTTTCAACCAAGGGAAGACCGTACATGCCTTAAACCGCTCGGCTACCTTGACCGGTCAGGGACAACTTTACCTCGCACTAATCATCAGGCTGGAACATTCGCCATTGACGTGTCGCTGTCTCCGTAAATCGTAGATAAGTGCAAGGGTTACACCAAAATGTAGACATAGCTGAAGAGAGAAATGATAAAAATGTTACAGGTAAAAATGGTCTTCAATTGATGAGTCGCAATCTGTCTAATATATAAGTCAATGAAAGAATTTAGAAAGAGAATTTACTGAAGGTTGAAACTTGCCCAGAAATAAAGGGCTAGCATTTTTCACTAGCCAGCATTCCTTACACTGTTGAATTCATTCCTCATTTCCACAAATTTCAGTTTAACGTATAAAGAACTTTGGCCTATTACGTCTCAGAACTATACTAAGGCCGCGGAAAGAAATCCGATAAATGGTAGGGATGGCGGCGCTAGAGGCTTCTCCCTCCCTGCCTAGTGTTGTGTTCCTATCCAGACTCTTCTGGCTTCTGTCAATTATCCGAAAGCGAAAGCGAAAGCTAGACGACAGGAGGAACAGTAGGAAAGTGCTCTAGAGGATAAGCATCGAAGGTTGATGTAGGCATAGATGGGATGAACAATGACACTTCTTTCTGAGGCCTCGGTATAAGAATTAACCATTCCTACTCACCACACAGCTATTTGAATATGATTTCGGCCCATTGCAAGCCTTCTATCATTAGAAGACCACCCCGAATGACACAGAAGCGCATGAATGAAAGAAGAAGCTATGGAAATATCTTAAGTCCTTTTTTAATAATAATATCCTCCTTGTTCCGGTCTAGAAAACCGAAATTAACGGCCGTAGGGATCCGTCGCGCTGACCAAGCGACACCATCTATCGGCTAAAGTTAGCATTAACTTCGCCGACAAACAGCGGTCGCTCGGTTGGTAGAGTTCGCTTGCGGATTAAAGCCACGGAATTTGTTTTATTCTCCTCCCTAGAATTTATGTCAACCAGTAGTACAAGGGATACTGGTATCAGAGTGATACGGAATTTTTCTCTCATAAAAACAAGTTTTTCTTACACTTCTCACAGAATGACCGAGCAACAAAGTCGTGTTATAACCCTGTAGTTAAAAAAAAGTTAATTTTCTTTAAGCATACTTCTACATTTCAATCATTAGACCCTAACCGTGTTTCCAGAAGCAATTTTGTTTAACAATCTGCCTGTTCCTTACATTATAGAGTATGAAGCAACATGGAGCTACAAGCAAGAAATGGCAGACGTGAAGGAATCTGCTCACCTTCATCATGGCGTACTTCTTAATGTACCGATCATCTGCTCCTCCGAAACCGTTTGCGGGGCCGCTCCAGTACACGAGTGCGTAACATAAAAACGCCCAAAAGTGCATGGTCCTTGGATTCTGCAAACAAAAACACACACTCACAGCTTCATTTCACAAGCGCGCCGTTCTGCTTCATAGAGTCCACACGTTAAAGTCTATATGAATTATTTCAATGGAAATGTTAACCAGTTTTGAATAGTTATGGATTCCTGCTAGAAGTCGGGATAACTTTGTCGGTATAGCGACTGACTAAGGGCTTGACGACTGAGGGGTCGGAGTACGAGTCCCGGTAGGGTCAAGAATTTTCTCTTCTCCAAATCGTCCAGACCGGCTCTGGGGTTCACCCAACTATCGATCCAAAGTATATCAGGGCTCTTTCCCAAGGGGTAAAGCGGCCTGGGCGTGAAGCTGGCCACTCACCTCCAACTAGTGTCAAGGTAAAAAATATGGATCTATACATCTACTCCCCCATACGTCTTCATGGCCTAGTGCTTAATTAGTTAAGCACAGGGACAAATTTACATTTGCCTTACATTACCATTACTATTCATAGATAATGTGGGAGCCTCGACGTCTCATAACCCTATGGGCCTTCACGGCCTGTTACAGGGATAGCTTTAGTTTTTACATTTTACCATTTATTCATGAAATTGTTGGAGAACGCTTTTAGGAAGATTGTTCAGTTAAGGAATATTAATTCCATCCGCACGTATTTATTTAGTCTACACAGAGGATGGAGTCATCAAGTTCCTCCGAAGCTTTTACATCTATCTACCAAACTATATGACATCTTGGGGACAGATGACCCCGGGCCTCAATTTTAATCTCTCCAAAACGGAGCAGGAATGCAACAGTTACACCGCGATTTTCGTCTCCTACCCAGAGATGAGGATATTGAAATTCCAAGATACGAAACTGCAGTTTGTGTCTGTTACTATGGCTGAAACTTGGTCTGAGAGAATAAGGGAGAGTGTATTTCCGAATCTAGTATTGTGCAGAATAATTGGGTCAGAAAATGGAAGCAACAGCAAGCTGGAGAAAACTGCATGGTTTATCTTGACCAATAATACACGTATTACAGTGACGAAATCAAGTATTACAGGGGATTTTATATGAATCATGCGCGAGAAACAAGGAAATATATTCAAAATTATGGTCGGAATAGCTAAAGGAAGAGACTGCTTGGGAGACCTAGGCGCAGATGGGAGAATTATATAAAAAGAGATCATAAGAAATAATATGGACAAAATTAATTTGGCTCAAAATAGGATCCATTTTTTTTTTCCTTGGCACTACAGCCCAAGTGGGCCTAGGCCTACCTCCATGAACTCCGTTCACTTCGGTTCTTCTAGATCTTACACAGACGATAGGACTCCTTGGGCGAGTGATCAGCTCGTCGCAAGGCCTCTACCTGTAGACAAACACAGAAAAACGCACACAAACATCCACGCCCTGAGTGGGATTCGAACCCACGATCCCGGCTTCCGAGCGAGCGAAGACAGTGCATGCCTTAGACCGGTCGGGCTACCGTGACCGGCATAGGATCCACTTACTGGTTCTCATTGGTGTAATAATGAATATGCGGCTTCATAAAAGGATAATTTCTTGAGTAGCTGTGCAATTATCAGCTTCTAAAAATGCCTTTCCCATGGACTTATTAAGTAATCAATAGAAACCTGCAATACCTACAACTGATGATACACAGTTCCTGCATATAAATAACACAACAAGCTGCCAAGAATGTGTCAGAATCATGTCTCAGACCATATCCTGCTCATTATTTCAGGGTTTTTTTTTTTTTGAATCGCTGCTCTGTCGGTAGAAATCCTTCGAGAAGCCACTAAGAATTCCCTTCATTGATTTTCTGGAGCATCAAGGAAACCAAAGAAGGTAGGAAGGGCCTCTCGCGCATGAGCAGTATCTCATACGTAACATGGAAAGGGTTAAATACGGTTTAAGCAGAATGACATTACATCTTATAACATGAAAGTAATTTCCACAGGATTTTATAGAACATTCAAAACACTCTTTTATAAGATATATATATATATATATATATGCGGAAAAATAAAAATCTACTAAAAGAGACGCAATTTTCAAACATCAGGGTCCCGAGGGTCCCGAGTGGGATCGAATATGTGACCTCAGTGTTCAAGGGGCCCAAGATGGTACACGCATTACATCGATCGGCCACTCATAAGCTCGGCCGTATCTGACCTTGCCTACTTCACGATTCATCTCTTTCCAGACAAGTTTCTCAAAGTCAAATCTTTTCTTAAAAATGCAGTAGGCTACAATTTTGACCCGTCAATTTTAATTAACATGCAGCTTTAATTAAATATTATGTTACGAGTCTGAGAGGGAGGTGAAAGTAGCATAACAAGCACGTTCATAAATTTAATTCTTCACAAAATACGAATAGGCTAGTATCAGAGTGATCAAATTAAGGATGTTTTAATTGGTGGGACATGCAACCCGCATGAAAGCTGCCAGAAATATGTATACAGTCTGAACCGGAAAACCTGAAGAAAAAGACCACTTCCAAGACCTAGATGCAGTGGAAGGATAACATCAAGATTTATTTATTGAAAACAAGTTTTGAGGTTTTGGACTGGCTCAAGTTTGGGATAAATCTACGTTTTCTTGAGAACACGGTAATGAATTTCTAGGTTCCATAAAGGGGAGAGTATATTGACAGGCTGAGCGACTATCAGCTTCCCTAGAAAGATTCTGCTCATTGAGGCTACTAACTTCACGAAGTCTATAGAGTTAGTTATCTTCACAAATAATTCTTAGCAGAACATACAACATATGTTGTCTGACCACATAATTGTACATAATTAAACACAGTCCTGCGGCATTCGACTGAATTTTGTTCTCCAAAGTAGTTCACTTTCTGTCTTAGTTAACGTACGTAGCCATTTAATCAATTATTAATAAAGATGCTAGCTCAGACACATACGTTTACCTTCATTTCTAAACAAAATTAAAATTAATTAAATTTACACGAACTTCCGAGACATACTTCGAAGTGTTGCACGTGAATACTATATCTCAAAGTTGTAAAACCTAAAATAATAAGATTTATAATAGTCAAAGTATACAGTAATTTTATGACACTATAGGCCTATAATGCCGGTCACGGTAGCCGAGCGGTCTAAGGTATGTACTGTCTTCGCTCACTTAGAAACCGGGATCGTGGGTTCGAATCCACTCAGGGCATGGATGTTTAGTTTGTGTGTGTGCGTTTTTCTGTGTTTGTGTACAGGTAGAGGCCTTGCGACGAGCTGATCACCCGCCCAAGGAATCCTACCGAACATGTAAGATCTAGAAAAACCGAAGTGAACGGAGAAGTTCATGGAGGTAGACCTAGGCCCACTGGGGCTGTAGTGCCAAGGAAAACAAAAAATAGGCCTATAATATTATTTTAAAATAAAACGCATTACAATTCTAATCATTGCATTTCAGTAACAATGTATGTCTAATGGCTTATATTGTCGTTACAATTAAAGTACGTAAGACTATTAATTACGTACTTATCTGTGGGATACGTAACGATGTTTTCTATAATAAGGATACTTAATATCGTGGATGAATGATGAATCTGAAATTTTGGAAGGCAGTGGGCATTGCCTAGTCGAGGCATTGTCGCTCATTTCCCTGGAGGGACTGAGAAAGGCCATGAAAATCCTGTCAGGATGGTCGACATCCCGGCGGAGATTCGAACCGAGAACTTCCCGATACGAGTCCAGAGCGTTATGGCTACTCCGACCCGTTCTGCGATGGCGACAAAACGATTTTGAATTCGAAACGACTTCCGTTGAAAGTAGCGCTCCAAACTTTGCTTCGGATTTTGGTCGCGACATCGGCTATTCTGACTGAGGGTTTTCATAGTTTTCATCAGTCACTCCAGGAAAATATTGGGATACCACCTAGATTAGGTCACGACTGCTACTTTCTAAATCCTATCCAATTTATTACCATAATGCCATCCGACAAGCCAGATGGAAAAGGACTACTGGGGAGGCCAAGATGTGGGTGGGTGGATAATATTAAAATGGATCTTAGAGAGATAGGATGTGATGATATTGTTTGAATTGATCTGGCTCAGGATAGGGACCGCTGGAGGGCTCATGTGATCACGGTCACGAACCTTTGAATGCTGGGAAATTCTTGAGTAGCTACACAATTGGCGGCTTCTCAAGAAGGGCTCATCTCCGTGAGTGAGTGAGTGAGTGAATGCCATCCGACCATATCTAGCCTCGATACTATAAAAGCTTCTTTAAATAACCCTCGCTAATAAAGAAACAATTTAATTTTCTAAGAATGTAATAGAAAATAATTTAAAATTAATTTCATATCAGCTCATAATAATTTTAATAGGTATGTTCATACAGCAGACATATCTGTTCAAGAGTTGGTACGTATTCTTACCACATGCTTTTCTTTACCTGTTACAGCTCTGGTCTTATAATAGTCTGCAGGTACCACCTTCACGAGTGCACTGAACTTGAACTTGTGAGTTACACAAGCCAAGGCATGGCTGTTTTATACAGCAAATGGCTTCGGAGGACGGGGTGAAGCGCGGAGAGGGGAAGTGATGTACGAGAGGACACAGCCACATCACCCTGCAGATAATGAGAAGATGGACACGGCCTCCGTGTTTCGGTGGTTCATATGAAGTTCGTGAGAAAATTTCCACGTCAGGTTACTGACTGCATTACCATGTAGGTGGGCAAGGTCATGGAAACAAAATAAAACATTTAAATTACACTCGAATGTGCTTATAAAAAATCTGAATACAGAAATTCTCGATCCGATCATAGTTTTGTATACTGAATTTTAAATAAAAGAACACATTTTTTACTTGTGCACTTAAGGTGATAATTTTCTTTTGCAGGGATGTTGGTGTATTTGAAGGCAAACTCGTCTTTCTTAGTCATGTTTTATAATGCTTCTTTCTTCATATTAAATATTTTTCCTACGTAATATTAATGTATATATACTCATTTTCTTTCTAGCTGTATAAGGTTGGCTAGATTGAAAGTGTGGAATTTTTTACTATAGACTGGTTTCTCTTTCTGTATACATGCTTGCTCTTGTCTATCTTTCCTCGTGCTTATTTCACAACTGGTCTTTGGTTGCTTTTTAAGCACTTAAATAAATAAATAATTGGGCTGAATTGATATTATTAGGCACTGATATATTTAAAATTTAAATTGTTTCTTTCTGTCATATTTTATACTGTTCATTTTTCCTCTGTTTACCAAAATACTAATTGTATTTATTGTAAATGTCCATAGTTTAGTTTTCTCACTTCTCTATGATAAATTTGTTTCATGTTAAGAGAATAATAGTAATAATAATAAAAATAATTTTATTATTCAAATTATATAAATTTCCTGTATTTATGCTTTCCTCGTGTTTTTCGTTTCTTTTGTTTACTCGAGCTCACTTTGTAATTGCCTTCTGGGCTGTTAAATTAGCATGTAAATAAATAAAAATATTGAATTATATATTTCTCAATTATATGAAAAAAATTATGTTTATTAGTGAACAAAATATTCATGACATGTAAATGGCATCACACATCCGAACTACGAAAAAGTAGCACGTAAATTCACGTCTCGTGCGTAAAAGTAAAGGTCAATAACAAACTTTATGTGTTACAACTCCGTCATTTCTATGATCGATTTAGCCAAAATCGGTAAAATTGTCCATGAACTTAATTAATGAAATCCTGTGCTATGAAGACACATGGGCGAGTGTAGGTATAGCTCCACCATTCTTCATCTCGACATTAGATGCATCGTAGACGTGAACTGACAGCTTCACGCCTCGGCCGCTTTACCACGGGGAAAGAATCCCGCGTTACCCATTGGATAGGAGGCTGGCTAGGCCCCAGAGCCGGTCTGAAAGCTGTGGAGTATGGCAAAATCTCTTACTCTTGCCGGAAATCGACCCCCACCCGTCCACTCCGTATCCTGTAGCTACACATTTGGTGAATAACAAAATAGTGTCATTCTAGACATTGCAGATAGGAGGAAGTGAGTTGCAGTCAGTAAGCCTAGCATAAGTTCCAAATAATGCGCATTTGTGGGCTAATGACATGAAACAGCTTACTAAAGGGTCAAAACTCGACACTTTCAAAGCGTATTTAACTTTTTTGGTCATTTTCCTCTCCCCTTACTCCTCTGCTTGTGAGGTTGCGTCTCGCCAGGCGTGAAACTGCTCGAAGCACAACAGATTGTAATGCAGCAGGAGAGGAATGTCTTGCAAATTACTGTCTGCTTATGATTGCTCGCGTCGCCAATCGCTCTGGGAAGGAGGGAAATCATTTTGAACATCTTCTTTTATAAATGGTAAACACAACATACACGTTCTTAAACATTTTTTGAGATCATAATTTTCAGTAAGTTCTTTAGCCTTTGGATGTTAGAAGATATGGATGGATACAGCTGATTCAAATAATTTCTCAAGAACGCGTAATTAATCTCGTAGTCTTCTCTTTTCCTTTAATTTACAGGGAAGCTGGCTTGAATACTGGATCTTCAGAATATCATGACCACTCAAATTACTCGTGTAGAAATTGCGCTGCATGTAACTTACGTATTTAATTTCACTTTGCTCACTACGAGAGTTATTTCACAAACAAGTTATCGGACTTGTCTATGTAGCCTTATGTAGGTTCAGTGTTCACTCAAGCCACAGTTCTGAGAATGATGCATGATTATTTAAAAAAATACATAAGCGACAAAATCAAATAAACAATCAGATCAACAGGATGTCCTCTTTTCCTGATACACTGGAATTCAGGTCAACTGAAAACTCTCATTTTATTGTGACAAAATTTCAGTCTCATGTAAGTTTTGTTCCAGAAAGAAAGCAGGGACCAAAACAGATCAAATTCTTAACCTCAAGGACTTCAAATATGTGGTCTATATATTTTTATCTTCGGAAGTGTTTATTTTCTTTCTTGATGTGATCTTTTCATCTTCAGAGCGTTATTACTCTAAGAACGAAGCAGGGTTAACAAAGTATCAGAGGGGGCAAAGACGATCGAAACGTGAAGCCGACCACTCATTGCCTTCCAGTTCGGAGGTTAAGACTGTTCCGGGCGATTGGTTATTCGTTTTCTTCTGTAGCATTGAGAGAAAGACAGTGAAACCCCGAAGGGAAGAGACCAGTTGTTTTTATTATCGTCAGGACTTGTCTAGGAAGTTGCTATTTCGTCTCGCACATTTCGTTTGTAACGCAGGTGTATGTTGTAATGTTGGACATTTCCCGTTGTCTTAAGTAAGTTTAAATTGCAGACGTTTCATAGGTTGGATCTTCTTCCATTAAAAGGGCATTGGGCCTCTTACACAGAGCCGGTATCACTCACTAGGCAACGAATGAAGATTTAAATAGAATTCTGTTATCGTAAATTGCCATATATGACAGAGAGGAATGCAAGCGAATATCAAAACAACAGAGACATTTGTTGACGTACAGAGCACACATATAACATATAATCAAAAAAATGTCTGTCTCGTGGAAAGGGAAGCCATATTGTGCTGATATCTGGGCCTGATTGGCTGATCACCCATCCCCTCTTTGATGAAATTTATCTTTCTCAATTTTTCTGAGAGACTTATTTTTTTCTGTGTACAACATCTCTCTTGTTCCATTGAATTTTCCGGTCACATCCCTTGAGAGTTCGGTTATTTTTGACTTGGTTTTATCTCCCGGTATTGTGCTCGGTGATTTTGTGTCCAGTAGTCTGCGTGTTTCTCCTACATACCAATTTCCGCACTCGCGTTTCATGGATATCTGCATCCAATTTTTGAGTTTAATTCTTGACAATAAGCTTTGTAGCACTGTGAGCTGTGCGCAGGTATTCCAGTGGCTTCCCCGATTATATGAACGTTTTTGATGTCCCTCGCATGTATGATGACGTCACAGTAGCTTCCTGGGGGTTCTGATTCTCCGAATTCTGTATTGACTCTTGCTGAGGGCATGGTTTATGAATCTTCTTGGGTATCGATTTCCTGTTAATGTGGCCATTTTGCAACTGCTTGTTCCGTTTTCAAATTCTCTTGGTCTGTCCATATGTTTCTTGCTCCGTTGCGTAACTAACTTACTTACTTACTCCATGGAGGAGGAGCCAACAGTTGCTCAGACACTTAAGGAATTCTCAGCATTTTTCGAAGCCCAAAGGTTCATTACATTGTTCTCAAGAGCCAATCGCTGGTCAAAATCCTGATACAGACGAACACACTACAGATCTCCATCCTACCTCTTGAAGATCCGTACCTCGTATTAATATCAATCCCACTTGCTTCTAGGTCTGCCTAATGGTCTGTAATTCAGATTTTCCTATAGAAACCGTGCTTGCACTCCTGTCCCACACGTGCTACATACTTCGCCAGTCTAATAACATTTTATCAAGAGTACGAATCATAAAGATCATTGTTATGCAGTCTCCTCCAGCCTCTTCTTATTTCATCCTCCTTGAGCCCTAATATTTTCCTCAGAACTCTGTTATCAAACCCTCTCGGTCTATGTTCTTCCCCCAGTGAGAGGGGTCAAGTTTCGCACCCATAAGAGAAGTGTAGCTATATTTTAATCTTCATGATCTCAGAGAGCAGACGAGAAGACAAAATATTCTGAATTGAATGGCAAGAAGCCTTATCCGAATTTAATCAGCTCTTAATTTCTTATGTGAATCAAATATTGATTTTGTTACTGCTGTTGGCATAGATTTCAACTGTGCCACATTTTCAAATGAACTATTAGCTAGCTTTTTATGTTCCGGTTTTGTCATCGCCATGTACTCTGTTTTCTCTGCGCTTATTTCTAAACTAACTTCCTTACTGGCGTCTATTACATACTATATTTCCTTTTATAGTACTTAATTATTCACCAGTAACAGAAGCTGATGCCGGTCACGGTAGCCGAACGGTCTAAGGCATGCACTGTCTTCGCTCGCTCGGAAGCCGGGATCGTGGGTTCGAATCCCACTCAGGGCATGGATGTTTGTGTGCGTTTTTCTGTGTTTGTCTACAGGTAGAGGCCTTGCGACGAGCTGATCACCCGCCCAAGGAGTCCTACCGAATGTGTAAGATCTAGAAAAACCGAAGTGAACGGAGAAGTTCATGGAGGTAGGCCTAGGCCCACTGGGGCTGTAGTGCCAAGGGGGGGGGGACAGAAGCTGATGTGTCCCATTAAAATTTCTAGACCTACCTAACGACGTATTCGCAAGTGAAGTTGAAAACCAATGAAATTAAAGCATATCCTTGTTTCAGACTCTTCTGAATGGGAAATAAATCAGAAAAAGATTTACCTATACTAACTTTAATATAGGATTTATTTAAACAAATTTTAATTAGCATAATTAGTTTCATTGTTATGCCAAACGCAGAAACGTAAAATACTTCGTCAAAACTGAATCCTAGTCGTTTTCTGAATCTATAGATAACCGATGTACTTTCTCACTGTACGTCCGCCTTCTCTCCAGGATCTGAAAAACGCAAAAGATCTAAGAAGTAATTGATCTAGTTAAGTCCGAAAGGGTAAAAAAGGTAAAGCTATCCCTGTAACAGCCCGTGAAGGCCCATAGGGTTGTGAGACGTCAAGGCTCCCACATCTTCTCTAGACAATCGGATCACAGATGGCGGTGAGTTTGTCAGCCTTACGCGCCGGTCGCCCTTTACCCACCAGGAAGATTCCTGGTACTCATTTCTGTTAGAGGCTGAGTCAACCTCAGGGCCATAGTGCGGCTGGAAGGATTAGGTAAATTGAAAAAAAAAACACCTCATCGGGACTCTAACCTACGGCTTTCCAGCTTGTGTCATAATGTCTCAGCCAACTACGTTACCGCGTGCCCCCCTTATTAAGTCCAAACTCATACTAATGATGGTCAATATATACGAGGTATATATATGGAGTTGAACTTGAGGAAAGTGCAGTAGATAGAATTCTGATTGAATGAAGCTTAGGCGCTTGATTATGCTTGCTTGGTGCTGAGAGGATGATGAGGTGTAGTCTAAGTTGGTTTTCTGAATACACTGATCTTCATGACTTTGTAGCTTCTGCCCGCAAGTGTATCAACAACGGAAATGTTCCGAGGTGTCTCTTGTGTGATAAACTTGATGATCTGCTTTAAACCATTTAGGTCGGTGAATGGGGTATGAACTGTAACATTAATTTCGCTTATCTGGAGAGTAGAACAAAAGACATTGCTTATATGATAGACAGATATTGACTTTTACTCTTTAGACAGGGCGTATTGGAAGATATGTTGAAATGTTGCCGATAAATGGGTGGTGCTAACAAATTGATAATAAGCAAAATGTTTACACCTCACTTTGTGATCATAGTATGCCATTTTGAAATTTATATTAAAGAGAGAAATTTCAGTGTAATGTAATTAGTGTAAGATGACATACGTCAGGTCAGCAGAAAAAGTGTTCCATGTCTACTCCCAAGTATCCACTTACCTAATTACCGTTGGCAGACAACCTGCTTTCCTGATATTTTAAAGCTTATCTTAGCTCCTTTCAGGCGATATAGGTTTTAACTGATAGTAGGCCACGATCATTTTGTTTTCTCTCCTTCCTTATGGTACCGGGTTATTCTCTCGCTAGGAAACCCAAACAGTCCTTAACAACTTCTTTCCATTTTTGTAGGATTCCCTGTAAAACTGATACATATCCTACACCGTGAAATCACACATCTTGCGGCCTCCTGCTTATCGAGTCAAAACACTTCCGATTGTCTCTAATTTCTTCACCAATTTGTGAATAGAGGATTTTGTCGGTACACTTCCTTGACGATAACTTATTCCGAAATGCCCTTTTGACATTGTTGAAATGATCCCGATTGTCAGTATTCACGAACAATAAACACACGCTGTTCAGCTGAGTACATGTTTCCTGGAAACGCAATCACTCTACACTGAGTCAGACGTCTGTTCGGCGGTCGCGTCTCGACGTCACGGGTACAGTCCACTTCGTTGAGGGGTGTGATGGTTCTGCTGCGATAGACGTAAGCTTCGTTCATGTCAGTTTTCATAGGACCCATACAAAAATTAAAATGTTATTGAAAACTATTGGGGTTTCCTAGCTAGAGATATGGTTTTCTAGCTAGAGAATCACACTGTATAACCAACTATCATCGTATAGCATTCGCAGACAAGTACCATATACGAACTAGTCGGTTGGATCATGAACCCAGCACAAACCATTTTATCGTTTCAGGTTGGTAATGTCTTGCTGCTAAGTAAAGAGAAGTTAGCATAAAACACCAGATGCTCTCGCCTTCCTAACGGACTGTTGGCCTCCCTAGTGAGAATCCTCTTATAACAGACGCCAGAAATGAGATTCATTTCTGGCGTATCAGCAAGTTCGAAGACATGTTACTTCGACAGTTCTCAACATATTCAGCGGGGTGAGGGGGATAATTTCCATAAAGTCACATATTCTGTCCATCTACATGCTAGTCATAAGCGTTAAGTGAAGGAAAATGACGAAGTTATTCCTCCACTTAATTAAGCATTAAACCATGAAGACACATGGGGAAGTGGAGGATTATATCCACCATTCTTAAACCCTGCACTAGGCGTAGGTGAGTTGTCAGCTTCACGACCCTGTTGCTTTACCCATTGTATAGAAGGCTGGATGGGGCCCAGAATTGGTCTGGTGGATTTGGATAGAGACATAAATTTGTTGCCCTGGCCAGGAGTCGAAGCCTCGATTCGTCTATCGTCAAGCTTACAGTCAAGTCGCTATAGCAGCTGAGCTATCCTGACTCAAAGCATTGCGAGGGCATCTGTTAAATATTTATGATATAATAAGTAGAATATTGTTACTCCAATGCCTTTTATTCCAAGGAGAACTCGGACGAAGGATAGCAGTTCCCTCACACGTCTTGTCGACAGGAACATAGCTGTATATGAGACTGGCGTAGGCCGCACCATAGCTCAAGCGGTTAGTAGCTGGCTTCCCACAGCGGCAGCCCGGGTTCGATCCCGGTTCTGGTCAAGCGGGATTTGTGGTGGACAAAGTGGCGCTGGGGCGGGTTTTCTCCGAGTACTTCGGTTTTCCCTGCCAATCTTCATTCAACCAATTGCTCCACAATCACTCTCACCTATCATCTGGGGCTGGTACAATAGGCCAGAAGTGGCCGCAGTACAAGGGACTTAGTCCCACCCCACTAGCAATAAAAAAAATGAGACTGGATTAACAAATAAATGATTCCATTGTATTGTTACTTTTAATTTTAAGAAAAGTAGGGAGAAGAAGGGACGTTTTCACTAGTAAACACATTAACCTGAAGACAGTGACTCAGAGTGTTCAATCCGAATATAAGCACGCTGCGACTAGTCTAAGTTCTACTGCTGATTGGCAGAAGCAACGCAAACAGTTAGAAGGTAGTGCATAATGATGGCTCTCGAACTTTTCTGAAGAACACACATACTCGTAAGAGTAATTGTCACTTCACAAACACTTCATCCAACACAGAAACTTTAAATTCATGGGAACTGTGAGTTTTAAATGTCATTGTTTATGTTCATCCTACTTTCTTTCTCTCTCTCCTCTCGCTCCCACTGTGGAGCTGAGGGCTGATTTCTCAGTTTCATTTATCATTTTACAGACGAGTGATCAGCTTGTCGCTAGGACGCTACCTAAACACAGGACAACACAAACATAGAATAAACACATACACACACCAAATATCCATGCCTTGTGTGGGACTCGAACCCACGATCCCGACTTCCGAGCGAGGGAGAACAGTACATGCCTTAGACCGCTCGGTTACCGTGACCGACTCATCCTATATCCCGGCATTCAAATCTCCAGTGATATAATTTATGTATCCTATTATAACGCACGTAATTGTGATCTTCATTGTCATTTGATTGTGAAGGAACTATGAGGCTCCCAACATTTGCTTCTCTTCCACTAACCATTCGTTTCTCAGTGATGCCATCAACATGTAAAATTGTATAGAAAATGGACTATAGGCCGAAAAACCTAGAGGTCTATGACTTTCAGATAAGCACAATCATTCATATTACAGAACACATAAATAATGTCACTTCCAGTCAGATACAACATCTCAGAAATTGGGGCCCGAATTTAAAAAAGCAGGACGGATGTTCGTCTGTCTGTGACTCTGCAGTCCTCTCTTGGGCCTAGGCCACTTTTTCAGCTTCTTAGTCCTATTCACAGACGGTAAGACTCCTTGGACCGGGATCAGCCCGACGCAAGACCACTACTTACACACAGAACAATACAGACACGGAATAAACGCACATAGACATCTATGCCTTCAGAGGGATTCGAACTCACGAACCCAGTGTTCGAGTGAGCGGAGACAGTTCATGCCTTAGAATGCGTGGCTATATCACATAAGTTTTACGTATAGTTCTTGGGGGGCAAAGAAAGACAAATTCAGCTACACTGCCTTTGAAGGTGAAGCAATGGCACCAACTCGTCTGCCAGGACACTGCCTCTAGTATGCTACGACCGCTTGCTTCCAGACCCCTTCCAATTCACCACTCATCATTAATCCTACCATTCGACGCTATACAGTGTGTCCCAAGAGTCACTTATCATAAAATATTCTGTCGTACTAACGGAAATGCCAAGATTTAAACCTGTCAGTTTATAGAATGGTATCAGAGCGTCGCGAGTTGTGCAACGAGCATGGTGGGGGCCCTATTTCGAAAAAATTTGTGAAGTCATTAAGTAGCTTAGTAGTTTCTAACGTACATTAGCGTACATTTTACAAATCAATTAACGGATCTGGCCATTCTCTATATTCTAGATACTGGAGCAGCGAGAAATAAGCCACAAAACATTTGCATTTACGAGTCATCTCTATTCAGCGCCGAGTTTATGAATGTACCCCCGTATCATGGAGCTGAGAAAAATTAAAACCTTACCTTTTTAAACATTTTAATATATTATAAGCCGGTCCCGGTAGCCGAGGGGTCTAAGGCATATACTGTTTTCGCTCGCTCGGAAGCCGGGATCGTAGCTTCGACCCACACAAGGCATGGATGTTTGGTGTGTGTATGTGTTTATTCTGTGTTTGTGTTGTCCTGCCTTTAGGTAGAGGCCTTGCGATGAGCAGATCACCCATCCAACGAGTCCTACCGTCTGTAAAATGATCATGAAACTGAGAAATCAGCCCTGTGCTCCAAAATGGGAGCAATAGTAGAGAAAAAATGTGTATTAAAAGAGGGAAAAATCGCTTAAAGTCGTTAGGTTAATATTTCTGTTGAGACGTAAAGTCATTTTGTTCTATACTTCATATTCGGTTAGATATCTACCATTAAAGATACCATTCATTTTGTGTTAGGGGTTTTCATAATTTATTTCAATAAGTGAGCAGATAGGCACTAATTAACCCAATTAATCCAAATGCGTTTCTATGTACCGCCTGCTTAAGGTACTAAAACTGTAGTCTTTGCACGGGTATGTTTTTGTGTGGTTCGTATTGTTCTCACTGTGAAGTGACTGATTCTCTAAACGGCATTAAAATCTTGATCTTTGTACAGGAGATGGAATGCGTTTCCTGTCAGACCCGAAAAGAAATTCTACATATTATTTAGAAGAAATTCAGTCTTTAAAGGGACAATATTAAAATAATATATTTACGCCCCTAGGCGTCTACTTCCTCAAATTCCTTTGGAGAACACATACACAGGTACAAGTTCATCATAAGAACTTTTCGTCCCAGAAATTATCCCCCAAATTCTCACGTTAAACTATCTTTAAACAACAAAGTTGTGTCTTCGTGTTTAAAACTAGTTAGAGTTGTTACTGGGAAGTCGCCACAAGAAATTAATGCAACAATGCATTAAAGACAGCACAAAAATAATAATGATTCATGAAATGGCAGTGCCAGCGTTTCCTTTCGTGTTAAAGAGGTTAGAATATGTTTATTGCTATTTCTTGTCAAGAGTTCGCAAGTGCGATGACTTGGTACGTGATACACAACTTCGTCAGAACTCCTTCGCTGTCTCTCGGTAATGGTGATGTACATACACGAAGCGTTGCACCTGCGGTTATAAGTGATCTAAGTCAACTATATATTAAAATAAACCAAAGGTAGGGCCGCGCCATAGCTCAAGCGGTTAGTCGCTGGCTTCCCACCTCGTCGGCCCCGGTTAGATCCCAGGTCTGGTCAAGTGGGATTTGTGGTGGACAAAGTGGCGCTGGGGCAGGTTTTCTCCGTGTACTTCGGTTTCCCCTGCCAATCTTCATTCCACCAATTGCTCCAAAATCACCCTCACCTGCCATCTAGGGCTGGTACAATAGGTAAGAAGTGGCCACAGTACAAGGGACTTAGTCCCACCCCACTAGCAATAAAAAAAACAACTAAAGGTATCCTTGTAACAGGCCGTGGAGGCTCATAGGGTTGTGAGATGTTGAGGTTCCCACATTTTCTGGGTAATCGTCTCACAGATGGCGGTAAGGTTGTTAGCCCTACGCGCCGGCCGCCCCTTTCCCCCCAAAATATTCCAAGAATATCCTGGTACTCATTTATATTTAAATAATCTTCCTGGTGAGTAAAGCGCGGCCGGCGCGTAAGGCTGGCAACTTTAACGCCAACTTTGAGCCGATTGTTTAGATAACGTGGGACCCTCAACGTCTCACAACCCTATGGGCCTTCACGGCCTGTTACAGGGATAACTTTATTTACTTTCTTACTTACTCATTTCTGTTAGAGGCTGAGTCGACCCCAGGGCCATAATGTGGCTGGAAGGATTAAGTCAATTGAGAAAAATCCAATGATCTCATCGGGACTTGAACCCGCGACCTTCCGGCTTGTAGCATAGTGACTCAACCAAATACGATAC